GCCAGTGTGTTAATGCTAACCGTTATTTATTTTTTTTCTCTTCCAGAAATCATCGACCAGCCCGGGGTGGATATTTTTGGGCAGGTGTATAACCAGTGGAAGAACAAGGAGTGCGTGTGTCCCAACTGCAACCGCAGCATCGCGGCGTCCCGCTTTGCCCCCCACCTGGAGAAGTGCCTGGGCATGGGACGGAACAGCAGTCGCATTGCCAACCGCAGGTCAGCAGGCCTCCCGCCCGTCCTGTCTGGGCGTCCCCAGCTGTCCCGTCCAGTGCCGGTCGCCTTTCCAGCTCTGGGCTTAAGCTTAGATCCAATGTTTGGCTGACTGGTGGGGTTTCAAGATACGGCGGTGTCTGCCATCTCTAGTGTTTGGTTAGACTGTAGCGCTTTTCCCCTTAGTCCCTGCTAAAGAGAGTTCAGATTTGCCCCTTGTTGGGCTTAGAATGGTCGTTTCCAAACCCAGCCTTCTGACGCTTCTCCCCACAGTAACCTTGTGAGAATGAAATACATGTGCATCCCTGGAGACATGGGGTTACCTGGGCAGTGTGAGCCTGCAGGTGTTTAATGTGAGGTCAGGGTGGTGGGCCCAGCCTGTATTGATGATAGATTAGTACACAGGTGCCTTTGCAGAATTAAGGATCATTAATACATGGTGAGTCAAGAGCTCCACCACTGGGCAGTTCTGTATAAATTTTCAGGTTTTCCGTGTGGACTGAGATGGAGCGTTCTTATCTTACAGGAGTTTTTACTGCTCTTTTTTTTTTAAACAGAATAGCCAGTAGTAACAATATGAACAAATCGGAGAGTGACCAAGAAGACAACGATGACATCAATGATAATGACTGGTCGTATGGGTCAGAAAAGAAAGGTAAGAGGAGCTTGCAGCTAAGTGCTGTTATTCCAGGTAAACGTACAGATGCTTGGCTCTTCACGCACGGCGTGGAGAATTCAGCACCTGGGGGCGAAGGGATTTGTTTTGCTGCATCTTAGCACTGATCAAAAACCCCTCTGCAGATTATGCAAAATATATTGTCAGCCCCTGTTGATTTTATCAGTGTGCATTAGTACAGAATTGGCTCACAATTTCATGTGTGACCCAGGGCTTTGAACAAGAGTTAGTATAAGTGTTTGTTGCAACAGTGGAGTTTTATGTAACTCATCTGTACTGACTCTTGTGCTGCTATGAAAAATTATTCTTGAAAAGTACCAACATAAGATCGCCTGAGTATTAATGCCGCACTGTACTTTATGTACATTAAAAATAAACTACAGGCCATTGTGATTGAACCAGGATTTTAATGGTTCCAGTAGGGCATTTTCACAGCACTGTCATAGACAATTGCAGGATTATTCCCTTAGAAATAGATCAATTTAATAGTCTACTCAAGGAGCAGTACACTGTCTCTGCACCTGCTTAAAGATGACAAGCCTTAGCTAAATTACTCCATTTAGTCGCTGCAGGTAGTGGACAAAAAAGTAGAGTGAGGAACACTAAGTACACTGAAAGCGAGGGCTTCCACACTGTTAATTAATCAAATAACATCCCTGTATACTTTGGATCATGTGTAAAACTGCTGGAGAGGCCTGAAACTGCTGCCTGTAATAATGGCCAGCATGAGTGTCAGAGGAGACCTCAGTGACTTTCAAAGAGGGGTGATTTTGGGGGTACGTTTGACAGAAGCTTCAGTGATTATGACCGCTCAACTTTTGGATTTTTTCATGAGCAGTGGTGTCTAAGGTGATGTCAACATGGAGCTCTGAGGAAATAACATCATTGGCAAAGGGCAGCAGTAGGAGAAAATCCCTGCTCCAGGATCATGATATTTATAAACTGATTCAAAGTGTAAGGCAAAATAGACAAGGAACAGCAAATCACTTGACTGCTAATTTAAGCCTGGCATATCAGCAGCCAGTTTAATTAAAAATGGCCTGCCAGGATCTCCACAGAGCAGGATACCGTTATCAGGTTTTCCTGATGAGCTGGCAGTGCATGTTTGAGTCTAGTGGTGCAAAGAGCGCAGGCAATGGACTACTGAACAGGGAAAAATTGTGGTGTGTTCAGATGAATCATCCTACACACTGCTCTTGACAAATAGATGAGTGCACCTGTGTCACTGACCTAAAGAACTTCACAGTGCTGAGTGCACTGCAATGAAGCGTTCAAGTGGATCTGTAATATTGTGGCCTGCATTTTCCTGGCATGCTTTCAGTGCACTCATTCCCTTAAAAAGCCAGGAAGGGTGCTTTCCAGAATGCCTGTGCCCCTGTCCACAGAGCTCACATGGTCCCCCACTGGTTGGTAACTGAGGTTATCCAAATGTTTTAGCTTTGTCAGTCACCAGATCTAAACCCAACTGAACATCTATGGGATATCCTGGAGTAGAATCTGAGACAATCCGCAATCTAGCAATCAGGCTTGAGTTGATGCCACTTTCTCGTGGAAGAATGGTGCCGCATCCCTCCTGCAGAGCTCCTGATGCTGGTAGATCTGCCACAGTGCATACAAGCCATACTGTTAACACCCTATTGAGTGACTTCACATTGGTGTTTCCATTTTTTTGTCCTCTACCTGTATATGTGTTCAGTATTATTTACAGCTGTAACCAAGCAGTGATAAGTACTTGGAAGGATTAATTTGTCATAAAGCTTAACGAGAGGCATTGCAACACAAAATATATTATTTTGTTTAATGCCTCTCCTTATATATATAAAAAACTAACTTCTTCCTTTCCTCTTTAGTATGAAGATGATGTGCTATTTTCTCAATTATAAGTACTGATAAATATTAAATGCCTGATGTCCGACATTGGTGCCTTCACCTGGCCTGTTATAGGAGGCTCTGAAGTATAATATTCACCCAGTCCAAAATCAGCATCTTTTATGATTCTGGGCCTAACGTGGGCACCTGTCATATTTTATTATTATGCCTTAACACACCGACATCTTTCTGTCTTGCACTCATCACTGAAGCTTTGAGGAGGAACAGCTTGAAACACAGATGGCCATTTAATTGTGCCTGATCTCCAGCAGATCAGTTACAGACAGTTGGAGAAAGTAAAGGCTAAAGCAAAGTAATAATTATAGCACTCCTCTACCTTTCCGGATTTACATTCCCTAAAATTCCTTTGGCCACTAGCAGATCGGAAAGCAGATTTAACACTGTCAATGTGCCGTGTATGCCTTGTGGTTTATTAAAGCAAGAAATTGACAAGCGTAATAAATTGTTCATCTCTCATTCTAAGGTGAATGCTTTTAACTTTGATTATATCTGAAGTTTTGTTTTGCTTTCTTTTGTAGCTAAGAAGAGAAAGTCAGATAAGGTATTTTTACATTCTTTGAAACAACCTGTATTTTTGGTAAGTTTATTTTTTAAGGCAATGACTTAAAAAAAACTAATGTTAATAGTTAACCTTCATGAAGGCAAAATGGGGACATTTTACTGTTTCAAATTAATTTTTTTTTCAGGCAGATGAATAAATTCCCCCATTGCCAATTGTTGAGATAGTAGGGTTTCAAATCTAAATGGTATGGAAAAATATGGCAGATTTACACTTGGCTGTAGACCTGCCATATTAATATGAGCAGCTTTGAAATGGACACAGCTTTCCTAAGAAGCATCAGAATGTGGTTATGTATTGGTTTATATCCTGCAAATGTTGTAGATGCCCAGGGGAAGATTGATTTATATATTATGAGCAGTGGAAGTGTTGAGGCTGATATCTGGACATTTACACTGTGTTTTTTGGGATGCTTCTTTTACCTAAGACAGATTTAGATATGTACTGTGCAATGTTTGTGTATGTGTGCGTAGTTGTGTATGGGTGTATATGAACACACAGATTCTGACCACCTTTAATAATGCACCATGCGTCTTGCTCTTGTATTCTTTTGCGATATTCATCCCAACAGGAAAATTAAATTAAATTACACAACCAGTTATGATGGTGGTCATACGTCAGTGTTCATTTGCTTATCACACAGGATTTTTAAAACCACTAAATAACATCAATTAGCTTTGATGGGGCTTTAGGGGCTTGAGCACTGCTCCTTTGTTTAAAAGGGTAAATGTACAAATGCAAATGGTTTTCAGCTTCACAGTCGAACAAGAAAAGTTTCTAATTTCTAAAGACTCTGTTTAAAATTCTCCTGCCTCTCCCAGAGTGGTGCTTTATCTAGTTTTAGTTCTTTTAGTTTAGTGAAAACGGAGGAACTGTAATTCCAGTCATTGTGTTAGAAAATGCAGAGAATGATTTAATTAAAAGCCTGGCTTAAATATCCATGAGGTATCCTTTATCCAGTGAAGATGAGATACTGCCTCGCCATTCTTCAGATGAGACTTTCTGTGATCATTAAAAATTGCAGGGTATTTCTCGAAAGGATTAGGAATGTCAATCCCAGTGACCTGGCCAAATATCCCCCTGCCCTTTACCAATCACCTCCTAGTAATCCCCATCTCTGAACTGGCTTCTTCACTCTGCTCTCCTCCCCACTGAGAGCTGATGTGTGGTGAGTGTACTGGCGCAACTATGGCTGCCATCGCATCATCCAGGTGGGGCTGTTCACTGGTGCTAGTGGTGGAAGGGAGTGTCCAGAAAAGCACTATATACGCGTAAGGAATTATTATTCAAGTGCATACTGCCTTTGTTGCCAGAGCTGATGGAGAAGTTTCAATCCAAATCATTCAGCCTGTTTGTTAAAATCATTGTGCCCTCATACAGTATATGTGCAAGTGAAGGGTCTTGGTGCAGCCCTGTGATGCGGTGGTTAGTACTGCTACCTTATAGCACTGGGTCCTTTGGTTCAGTTCTAGACCTGGGATGCTAAGTGCCTGGGGTTTGTATGTCCCTATGTTCACATGGGTTTCCTCTGGGTGCTCCAGTTGCCTCCTACAGTACTAAAACATACTGATAAGCTAACTGACTTCTGGACAAATTGGCCCTGGTGTGAGTGTGTGTCTGCCTTGTAATTCAGAGTGTACCCTTACTTGTGCCTGTTGCTTGCTAGGGTAGGCTCCAGCTCCCCCATGACCCTGAATTGGGGGGAAAAAGAGAAAATGGATAGATAAGGGGGCTTGCTGTGTAATTATCTGAATGTGCACATAGAAACACTAGCAATTTTTGTAATGGGGAAATAGGTCAATATCAGTACGACAGGATCATTGTCACCGATCCCAGTATGTTAGCCTGCTTTGGAAATGTATACTGTTTTGAATTCTTTGTGGAAAGAGGTGCTTTCCAATATAAGCACAACATCTGTTCTTTACCATTTTCCATTTAACCTTTGCTTTTTACAATTAGATGATTATTACAATAAGAAATACCCCCCATAATTAATAATTAATATAATCTCCAAGATTACGTTTTAATTTACCTTGCCCTGAGTTTTGGGATAAGACTGTGCAGTTCTCTGGACTATTGTGTGGAATGTACAACCATTAAAGCTTTTTTTTTTCTTACAATGAAAAGGATCATCCCTCCACAGGGCCTATGTTTTATGCTGAAGCAGTATTTGAGTGGTGCATGGTTAGAGCTGGTCAGTGTGTGTGTGTGTGATTGTGTCTGTGTGTATGCCTATGTACTTTTTTTCCTTCAAGCTCAATTTAATTACAAAGTTCATTTTCTGCTTTTTTTCAGAATCCAAATTCACCTAGAAGATCAAAATCATTAAAACATAAAAATGGTAAGTTTTAGCTCTCCATCTGCAGAGATTTAATATTTCTATTGTAAATACAATTGATATCCATTGCAGCTCTATACAGTAGGTAGTGGCTGTGCTTGTGGATATAATTCGCTTGCTTCATGTCCTCTCAAAACTCAAGGTTTGCACAAACACAAGACGACACCTGGAACATGACTTACTGAATGTCTAGATCCCTGGAAGTATCCAGAGACAAGCAGTGAGGTGAATGTTAACTAGAGGAAAAACAAAACTCTTATGTAAAGGTTGCCTCTAACCCCCCCTACTTTTAGAACCAGATTTATTTGTAGCCACTATTAAAGTGCGTGTATGAAGTTTAATGCCTTACTAAATCATTTTCTTAAAGATTTTTTCAAAGAAAAACAACTTTGTCTCATGTATGCTTCCCACTTTTGGTAAATCCCGCATTTTGAAGGTGTTGCAGGTATGTACTTGCAATAATTCTTTGTTCTCTGGGGAATTCAAGAGTAAATGCAGGACTATAAGAACAATCCTTTATCTACTTGTATTATATTAATGGTAGATTAAGTAGTGGTTTCCCAGCCTTTCACTTCCTAGTCACTGAGTGAAGTAAAGGGTTTCTTCTCAAGGTATTTAATCAGGCTATTAATCAGCATGATTAATAGCCAAGAATTGGTCACATACCCAAGTATGTTGTCTTGAATACTGTGCTTTGCTGGAGTACAAGTTTCCATTTGGAAATGGACAGAGCACAGGAGTTCCTGCTGCTTCAGTCCAGCATGTCTGCAGAACGCCACGTTGTTGCCATAACCCACTACTCCCAAAACAGTCTTCGCATTTGTTGCATTTTGTGCTGAAGAACAGCAATATGACTCTGGGTTTATGATTATGAGAATGCCTAAGGCAATGAAGGACATTTAAAAGAATGAGAGGTTAAAGTAAGTATAATGTAGAATTGAACACATCTTGCTGAAACTGCTGCCAAAACATTGGTCTGAGGACCTGTGCTGTCTGGTAGATTGTATTATGTCTGTAGCTTCGATTTGTTTGAATTGCATTGTGTAACAGTCTGGCCCTGTTTTAATACAAGTCAGTTTTGTTTGAAATGAGTGGCCTTAGAAGCACCTGACTGGTATTTCAGCTGCGTCCCTTGGGTTTTGAGATCTGGCACTAACCTTCTTCTGTGTGTGAACCTTTTCTGCAAGATCACAAGATGTCGATTGTCTTGATGTTTCAGCAGTTTTGGCCCCTAAGCGAAGACCGCCGGATCCAGAGAGCCGTGCTCTCGTTTTGAAAGACGAGGAGTTTTCTCAGTGAGAGGCGGGAGGGAGGTGACCCCCCTGTGACCCTTGGCTATTTCAAACACTGGCGCAGCAGCTTAGGGTCACATTTCAGGATACGGGCTTATTTCAAGGATTTCAAACGCACCAGGAAAAACCACCATAAATAGCGCCAATCCAGGACGATCACTTATGAAATATCCTAGAGAGCTGTATATAGAATATATAATCAGGTGAAGATAGTATTTTTTATTTTTCCTGTTGTCCTGATCTACCCTTAGAAATCAGTATATTTTAGAAGTACTGTTTTTTGTTCTTCCTCATTCTGTTCAATATCTTTGCTTGTGAGTATTCTGGAAAAAGTACTAACACAGAATTGGAACTTTGTGTCCAAACTGCCGGTAGTTTTCTGAAGCCCAGTTAACATTTTTTTTTATTTGTTTTTTTTTTATTTTAAACCACTGAGATTTTCTTTTCTTTTTCAAATCACAGCAGATGTTTTTGAGGTCCTGGAAAATTATTTCAGGTTTATGCTGATGGGCATAGAGAAATCTGCTGGATTTTAAGTAAGGGACATACTGTAAAGGGACGTGGTTAAATTATCAAGACTGTGAAGAATTTGAAACTCAACGAAGAATACTTCAGCATCTCTTTTATCAAGAGATAAAGGAGAACATGGGCTTCAAAGGAGCTAACTTTGTTAATTGATTCCTGTATGGAAGGTATCTAGTTGCCCACAAGACTAGAAATGATTATTCTTCCCCTGTTCTAGAATCAAAGAGTCAAGTTTAACTGTTATTTTTATTTTTCTAATTATTTTTCAACCTTTTATAAAGACGCACATTGGCAAGTACATTAAGTATAGAAATGAGACGCATTCAATAACTTGAAGTCATGTGCAATAGTGAGGGGATATCAAATCCAGTAACGTTTGGAAATGCAAACTTTTAAGTGCTGCATTTCAAGGTAATATCTGTAACCGTATGGTAACGGGTTATGTTTCTATATTGTTTTTTAGATGGCTTTTTGAAGTTTTCAGTGCAGTCATTATTACAAGTACCTGGTGTAATTCTCCTTTTGAAATCAAATCAGTCAGCTTCTGTCATCATTACTGTCTAGGGCAGTACGCAGTCTTAGTAAGTGTGGCTTGAGACAAATCTATGGTTTCACTTTATGTGGTCCTCATAAGATGATTACCTCATGGCAAGGGGTACAGAGATATTTGTTCTCCCTTGACTGTATTACATTTGTAAGACTGGTCAAAAAACTTTAAGGTGAACTACCAGTGTTGAAAAGGTTCTGGTAATTTGTTTCCATTCCTTGTGATGTGTGCAGCTGGTCTGTAGATTGGAAGTTAATTCAAGGTTTCTTTATAAGCAGAAACCTACATCTAAATATGTAAATATGTATCTTATTCATAAATGAGGTGCTTGTTACTCTGGTCTGCTCATCTGTTTGCTGTTTTTCTTGCTGACTATTACTTCCATAGATTCTAATGAAGACAGAAGCAAAGCAGTACTTGGTAGCCACCAGTTCTCAGCAAAACATTCCATGAAAATGTGATTCCATTTCATATCTTTTGGGGAGAAAAAATCTTATTCACAGATTCTGTTTCATTAGTTTGAGGGCTAACAGGAGCACTGTGGTTAACAATGAAAATATTGAGGTCTATTTGTTGCTTTTTTATGCCATTTGTCTGTCTCCATTTTAGGCTCTGCTCCTGTTAGGATGTGTTGAAATAACCAACGTTTCTTTTTTTTATCTCAACTCAGGTGGCTGCTACAATGTAAAATATAGGATCATGCCATTTTTAGCTTTGTGTAGTATTTATTTTTTGTGTTTTTTTTTTCTTTTCTGTGTTATGTGTTCCATTTAAGAAGGTGCATGAATAGACTATGTAACCAGTTACAACTGCTGCTAAATTTGCCAGGATCTTATGAACTGAAAAGCTGTTATCCTAGGGTTTTCCTCCTGGAACTCTGAACTAATAAATGAGCTGAATGATCATGGTCATTGCTTTTGCTTTTTCTTTCTTTTTTTTAAAATAGAATAGCCAGTTGGTTCACTCAATTTTTTTAATCCACCTACGGTACTACACCCGCTACACCATCTTCAAGAGAGAAAATTAATTCACTTTCACCAGGATAAAAATAATAAACATGACCGTGAATGAAACTAAAGACCGTTTTGTCGCAAATTGATTTAATAGGAAGTACACTCATTAAAAACCTCATTAAAAAAGCTACAAAAAGCTTTGATTGCAAGCCTATTTATGGATGGAACACACCAGAACTTTAGAACATTATTGGCTGTTATCATTGATAGGTGCTTTCAAATACCTACAACCCTTGAGGTAGAGAAAATATTCTATTTTTTGTCCTTAATCCTGTTTACAGCACCTACACTTATTACTAGGTTGCTATTTCCCTGTTGAGGTAATAATATCTACAGTATTTATGGATAGGTTTGTCAATTTCTTTTGGGAATATGAATGAATTAACTGCTAGATTGTGTGTGTGATTGAGGTTAGTCATTGAATTCCTTTTATATAAAATTGAGTTCTTTGTACATAATATATGTTTTAGTTTGGAACTGTTCATGTTTATTCAACATATTTATTTCCTTTATAGTGCCTAAACCTGAAAAACATTGTATTCTTAATGCAGACAGCCAATACTGAGCTGTAACATTACCTCACATCATTTGAATTCCACATTTTATCATTTTACCAATCCCCATGGCAATATGCTTATTGATCCCATTATTGTCTAGACACACATTGACGAAGTCCTTTTCAAACTCAGTGTCTCCGGCTGGCGGTCTCATTTACTCTTTTACCTTTCATGTCCTAAACAATAGCACTGGACTGCCAGCATAGCCATTAGGATGTGCTTATTGATTCTTTTATGAAGCTGTTAACTGAGAAGAAATGAGCCAATGCTTTGCATTACCCTACCTTGCAGAAACTAGGGGTGACATCATGTAAAATCAATCATGAGTTTACATCATGCCTTCAACACGTGTGGTAAAAGCTGACTGACGATCCCCTTCAACATGGAGTATGTCAGGGGGCTATCTGAATGACTCACCCCGTAGGTGTGGGTTCAAGCCCAGCTGTCTTTGACTGGGGTTACCTAGGCAGTGGAGGGTAAGGGGGCTGTGGTTGAGATTTGCCTGCCAGGGCTTTCAAGCAAAGGGAAAGCCTTTGACTTTTTGGGCCCAGAGGGCTTCCTGAGATGTGGGTAAAATGGATGGTTTGATTTCTGGGAGGATCAGAAGAACGTTTCAACCCTTCTTCCTCACCTGCGCTGTCCAGCAGTAATTGCTATGAGCTGATGTAAAAAAAAAACTGGTGGATATAATCCTGGGTGCGTTTTTTTTTTAAAAAAAGGGACAAATGGTCTGTGAAAACATCCCAGAAGTCTCACATCTGCTGTAGTCTCTTTGAATGTGAAGGTCAAGGGACTTGCACTGAAAATGCAATTTCAAGTTTCAATGCCTCCTACTCAAGGAATGAAGTACTTTGAAAATAGAGCACATTCAGTCATCAGATGGCAGTAAACTAGAAGATTTTCTACATTGGAACATTAACAGAGGAAATAATCAGAATGAATGCAAAGGGCATTCACATCTGAACAAGTTAGGTTTTCTGAGGATGCAATAGACCAAAAATGACAAATGATGGTGTTCAGATATTTAAAATCTTTTCACCAGGCCCATATGAACCTGCATAATAGAACCTGGACATTGTTCATAACCAGCGTTATATTTGTGCCTTTTTTTTGTATCAGATAGATGACAGACAAGGTTTTTCCCTGTTTACTCACATCAACTTATCAACTTTGGGTGTCCTGTTGGGTCTTTTATATTTACGAGACAATTATAATCATGGTTTTCAGACCTGATGGTTCCCTTCCCTCTAGATGTGTTCTAATGGCCCTGTTACTTTTTCACCCCCAAACCTCCAAAAAACGTATCCCCTTCTCAACCATACCATTGAGAGTCTCCAAAGAAAACAACTAAGCTCTAGAAAGCCTGAATTATCGAGTCTTCATCCTTATACTGTGTGCTAATGCTTATTGAACATTTTTGTTTCAGGAGAACTTAACAGTAGCGGAAGCACAGATCCTTATAAGGTAATGATTTATACATACATAGGCAAAGTTAGAAGTCATAAGATGATTCTGTCTCCCAAGTGCTGAGAAATGGCAAGGGAAATTAATATTCATACCCACAATCCTCTTAAGATAATACTTGCATTTTTACATATATAGTATTGCAAAAGCCATACCAAATATATAAATATATAACACTGATGGTCTGTCTTCACTGTGTTTACCTACAGTATTATATCCCTTTCTCCTCTCTTTACAGTATAATTATAACTCAGGCATCAGTTATGAAACACTGGGACCAGAGGAACTACGATCACTGCTGACTACAGTAAGACCACTTTTTTTTCTCTTTTTGGAAATCAAACTTATAGATGCATACATTTCTTTGCATTATAAACCTTTCCTTTTATTCATAGTTTGTCCCTCTTTTTTTTTCCTTAGCAGTGTGGGGTGATTTCAGAGCATACTAAGAAGATGTGCACACGGTAAGGACACATGGCCATTGTGCTGTGCCACTCTATAGCAATGTTCTACGGCTTTACACACAAAATCAGCAGAGAGAGATGCTAGAAAAACGTTTAAGAAATACACATACAGGAGGGGGTTTAAAAATATGGTCCTCCAAGCTTATTACTTTGGATTTCTTTGGGAAATCCAGTCCCAATGCTTTGCCCCTTTCCCAGGAATCCCTGCGAAGAGGGCTAGGGCTTGGTTTGGACTTCTAGCCTCAGAATGGAAACGAAGTCCACGTCTCACTGCATGTGATATTGAAATTGCTTTGCAAGTGCCTATTGCAGTGGGGTCATGTAACTGTTATAACGTCAATGCTACAGTATAAGAGAGATATTTTTCTGATCCATCTACCCATTTTCTAACCGCGTTGTTCAGTATGGGGTCACAGGGGACGCCAGAGCCTATCCCAGCAAGCAAAGGGGGCAAGGTCACTTACCAGTCCCTCACAGGGCACACAAACACTCACACTAGGGGCAGTTTTCTCAGGATGCAATTAACCTGCCAGTATGTCTTTGGACTGTGGGAAGAACGCAGAGCACCTGTAGGAAACCCAAGCAAACATGGGAAGAACATACAAACTCCATGCTGAAAGCACCCCAGGAATTGAACCCAGGACTGCAGCTGTCCTACTTTCCTTATTTAGATCAAAATTTATTTTTCTGTCATATCCGGAGAATGAGACAAGTATCATTTTTCTATTAAATTACTAATGGGAGGTTTGCTGTCCGTGGAATGAACAGAGGCACCCAGTATTCTTATGAGTAATTTAGAAATCTTTGTTCAAACTGAAGGTACCAACCAACCTGCCTGAGAATGCCCAATCTCACCCTGATCCCTGCAGTGAGCTACGTGCAGTATCATATATACAGAATCATTGAAAAGCACAAGGCAATGCACTCCTATACAAGACAGGGCTGACTGTATCCTTAGCAATTGCGATCCATCCATTCTCCAAAACTGCTTTATACTGAAAGGGATGGATTATTCTTAAAAGAGAAAAGAAATGTATTTTAACTAAATTGAAGCTAAGGATCTTCCAAAGGTTTCAGAAGCTTTTAAACAAAAGGGAAGAGAATAGCATAAAAAAACAAGAAGTGGATACAGGAACATTTTTTTTTCCAGAACTTGGGAAAAAAAATACTTCAGGTAGCCATTCCTGCAGCAGTTTGATTTATAAATAAGTCTCATGTATTTAATGATACGTATATGTGAAAACTGCACAAATACAAGCATTTGAAAGATTGTCTGTAAGTCACTGTACACAGGAATGGGCCATTTAATTGTCTGGCATGTGGGCACTTATAATTTGCTCTTTTGTAGCATACTCATCAAGCACTAGCGATCTAGAAATAACTGATGTGCACTGGAATGGATTGTCGATTTTGAAACCCCAGCTACGGTCGTTTGTTGCTCACGATCTAAATAAAGGCCACTGCCTGCCAACTGGGGGTCAGTTGTGCTTGAGCTCTGTGAAAAACCCTAATGACACAGTCTGGCTTTAATTTGGTGGTGACACGGTTCCTACCTGAACTTTGTCATTCTGATCTGGGAGCGTGTCCTAGAGGTTTAACCCCACATTGTGTGTCCTGCCAGGTCACTGCGATGTCCCCAGCACACAGATGAACAGAGGCGAACAGTCCGTGTCTACCTGCTGGGGCCTTCAGCGTGAGTCTGCCCGATGTCGTGATTTGTAATCATGTGCTTCACTATAGCTATTGTTACAGACATGTTTGACCTCCGGGAGAGGCATGTGACCACTTCTGCTTCCTTCTGCTTTGAACGCCCCTAAAGAGAAAAGGCCTTGGTGCAGTTTGAGGACAGGTATGGTCCTGCTGACTTCCAGACCCGCAGTGGCTTGGCCAGAGGCAGGGCATTTTCTGGAGCATGAGCTGGCCCGGGTTCCTTCTCCTAGAGCATTTCAGAAAACTGAATATCGGGAAACGAAGAGAGGAAGGATTTGGGTTTTATGCAGTGTTAGAACACAGTTCTTCACAAGACAGCGGGCAATGACAATTTTCTGGAATAATTTCCAAATCAAGAAGGATACAAAGGGTAAACAATCTACATTTATTTTTTAATATTATAATGTTATAAAAAGCAAGCAAAAAAGCAAAAAAATCAAAATAGATTCTAGGGGCAGCATGGAGGTGTAGTAGTTAACGTTGCTACCTCACCTCTCTGGAGTCCTGGGTTCAATTCCTTCCTGGAGTGCCTTCTTTGTGGAGTTTGCTATTTCCATGAGTTTTTTCTGGGTGCCCAAGTTTAGTTATTTTTTTCTGGTTGCAGGTCTACTTTGCCGGATTCGGACATGATTGTTGAAAATGACGCATACGACCCCACAGAGACCCAGGCCCTGATGAGCAGGCTGCAGTGGGATGCCTCTTCTGACATTTCCCCTTCAGATTCGGCATCTTCAAAAGCAAGTGAGTTCAGAATGAGAAGGCAGCCATTTTGCGGGCATCTTCAGTTGGGTTATTTAGTTGGTTTGTTTTCCTGGTTGGAAGCTTGACTTCCCTGTTAACATTGAAGTTGTTGTGATTGGACTGTTAAACTAGTTAAACTGTTGTCAGGGAAGGTGCAGCTCTCTTCTTGGCAAAAACTCAGTCTTTAGGTAATGTGCTGGTAATGCAACATTCAGAAGGAAATTTAAAAAAAAGTACTGTTTACTCTAGTTTCACTGAATCCCGCACAATGTCAAATTCCATGTAAAATACCAATAACTGTCTTTGTCAATAAGTGCCATGATAATTTGCACATTTTTAAACAGCAGTAGTGGAAGCACATAGCAACTGAGCAGCTAAGGTCTTTGACTGCTAAACACCGCCGCTCAGGCTCAACCCCCTCATTCTCCTTCTCAGGTACCAACAACTCTGAATCCAAGAAACCCAAGAAGAAGAAGCCGTCTCTGGGCCTGGGCAGTGGGGGAGGCGGGGGCTCTCAGTCGGGCCTGGGCTCCTCCAATCGCAAGAAGAAACCTAAGCTGCCAGCTCCTCCCACTCCAAGTATCTATGATGACATGAACTGAGGCTGGAGGAGATCTGGTGAGACTATCCAGGGGAGCCACAGAGGCCTCTTCACAGCTCTAAGTACATTGCTAGCACTTACCCAGGGAGGAATATAAAGATTAAGGGAACAGGACGGCACCCCTATGTAGTGGGATTCTTACATGTACAGCAAATATCCTGAATCTGCCCAGATTGTAAGGGCACACCCTCTCCTGTGCAGTTTTGCCCTATTAACTGTGTGTCCTAGACCTTTACTGGTTCTTCCCCAGTTCAAAGCCCGTTGCTTGAAATGCTTTCAACAGAGAAAAAGGCAAAGGATTACTTTGGCATAAACCCATGTGTAACCTAATCCAATCAATTACAACAGGCCATTAGATGTGAGTGAATGGATGAATTACAATAATGTCCATGATATGAACATCGATACTAATAGAATCCCTTTGGTGACAGACATTAATAGTTAGCTGGTCTTTGTGGAGGAGTATGCTTTTTTTTTTAAAGTGAACATATTTGTGTTTGTCGGTGAGTATGTGTGTGCGTATTGAAATGTTGGGTCACTGTGACAGAAATAAAAGTAGACATACACACATAATACACAATCATGAGATGTTCAGTAAGTTTGAACCTGCTGGGGAAGATAACTTTTTTTTCTTCTAAATTGATTGTATTGCAATGCCCCTACAGCAACTTCAACACTGATTGTTTAAGTATATTATTATTGCAAAAGATTAGAAATGGTCTTTATTCAGAATACAGTCGATCGCTTTCTATTGAGACTCAGTGCTTAATTTATGTGTGTCATCAGTACAAGCATGTGAAATATTGTGCAAAAGCTTGGGTTTTATAGTGATAACGTTTTTTATTAGGTCTTGCATTCCTTATATTCTGTAATTGTATTTCAGTGTATTGGGCCTGCCTGCCCTGTACCAATTATGTGATTTCCAGACCTGGAATTGAATGGTGCCCCCTGTGATGGACTGTTGTGTCCTGTCCAGGGTGAACCCTGCCATGTGCCCGTTGCTTGCTGAGTTAGCATCCAGCTCCCCTGCAACCCTGAATTGGATAAAGAGGTTGGAAATCGGGTGGATGAATGGAATTGAATGGCGTTTGTAAAATTTGCTGCATTGGTTAACATGCCTTCAATTCTAATACATCTTATGTCCCCGAAACCTCAGACATCCACAAATGTCAAATCATTCTTTCCACAGTTGGCTGCAGATTCTCTGCAATATATTAATTTTACAAACTCTTCTCCAAAGAAATAGCAGACAATCCAGTCCACATTCTTCACGGTTTCCTACAACAGAATCTGAAAACGGTCCATAACTATTTTGACCAAACTGTTACTTCTCACTGAGATAGAAGGTATACCAAGTGGCATTGCAATCTCAACAAATACTATTAGTCCCATATTACCCAGCTCATATGTTTATACCAACAATTCATGCTGCTTGTGTCTCTGCCTCACAAACCCATTAACTTTAAATGTTGGTCTTGCTTTTGAATCCTAATTTTCTTTGGCTTCCCCTGCCTGTTTGGTTACTGAATCATTATCATTACACAAATGCAATATTTGTTTGGTATTTAATCCTTTAAATTAAGTGGAAAATATTTCTAGTTGTAAATTGGTTTTCCGTTCAAACTATTGCCACGATCCTAATATGAGTGCTTACGTGGCATCACAGTATCATAATATTATAAACATATGTTTTACCTTGTGTTTGATAGAGAAATCAAAATTCCATACAAGTTACTATAACCCAATTAAAACAATTTTACAATACACTGTGTCTATATATTACATACACAGAAACATATAATGTTTGTGTCATATGCACATTAAGGTATGCTTAATAACAGCAAAGGAGAATGAGACTGAAGAACGTTCTTTCCCTATGAAAGCTTGGGTATTTAAGATAATTCAAGATTTGTATTCCTGGGAGTTGTTGAATAGAACAAGAAACTTCACAGTAAGAACTAGTTAAAGAGAATTAGGTGGGATTGAATGCTTGTGTTTATGAACATACACATCAAATATTTTATTTTAAAAGTCCCAGTGTAATTGCAGTTTATCTTGAAGTTACATAATATGCTTTTTAAAAATATTGTTGAATGACTGTGAATCATTTTGCATTGTCAATAACTTTTCACTGTTATAAAATCAGGATAAAAACAAAACTGCTTGTTTAGCAAAGGGCTCTGTAAAATAACATTTACTGTTAGTCTCCATCAAAAATCTCTCATTGTCAAAATATATAAATATATAGATAAATATCAACAGCCCTCATCTCCAAGAATGGTATGTGATGAATTATTGTTTTTTTTCACTATACGTGTTTGATTCATCCTATTGTTAGCTAATGTTTCAAGTGAAATAAGTAATTTAAGAACTGCAGAATGAATATTTCTCAATCCCTTTATATCTCTGTGCCTTCAGTCCTTCACTGAACCTGAAGAAGCAGTTAGGTAGTGGCAAGCCAGAAAACTGGAATTTAGAACTTGGTAACTTGGAACTTTGGTAATGAGAGCAAATTTGGTCAGCTTTAAATACTCTGGCTTGTTTTCCAGAAATGTGCCTTCTCTGCAGTATCTGTACTCCTGTATTATGTAGTAAATGGATTAGCTAGGCTCAATTTGTATCCAAAACTAACGACAGTATATATACATGGAAAGAAGAAAACATTCAGGAATGGGAACAATTCCAAATGTTTATTTAAACGACATGTTCTTTAGTTGTGCTTGGAGACAGCTTGGTATTATTCATGAACGTCTAGGTGCAAGTCCTGCATTTTTAAAAAATCTGATGAAGATGATATATTTTGCATCCTACCTCTCTGGTAGAAACCATTTTACTGGGACATTGGGTCTTGCAGACATGCTGTTTACCTGCTCACCACTGGGGGAGTTTCTTTTTGCTTTTGCTCCTCCTGGCATTTTCTGAACATGGCTTACCAACAGAGTATTCTTAAATCTATTATTTTTGTAGATCTGCTTCTGAATGCTGCAATGTCAGCCATGCAGAGGTAAAAAGGGATTTTGAAATGACTCTTTAGAGATTGAAATGTAGAGCATTCCAGGAACACACATTGAGTATTTTAAATTGTTTTGGTATTGCTTTATTTCTGGGACCAAGCTACATATCATAATGATATTTTTATTTCTTTTATAGAAGGTTTTAAAGCTGAAACTGTGGATGTGTTTTTTTTTTTTTTAAGTGTGTAGACGGAGAAAAACTGAAGGCCAGGAGCTTATCTTGAAGCATCCCATCTTGATGTCTTCATTCACTGGGAGTGACTTGGTCAGTCTGTGGCCGTAGTGTTGATTCTGCCACAAAGACCCATTGCACTTTATGTGTGTCTGTGCGCACATTTGTACGTGAGTGTGTATGAATGATAGTGATAAAAATCCAACTATTTTGGTTGAGTCAAGGTAGTGCTAGCTTCCATCCACGCTCTGTATCTTTGGCATCATCTTACGGTTTCAGAAATCTTGGAAAATAAACTGTCAGCTGGATCTTGGCAGAAATATACTTGAGGACATTGGACTTCCAGCATTCAGACACACTTACCACGTGTTGTTGGACATTGTAATGCTGTATTTTTACCTCAATACTGTAATAACCTGATATGAGCACTGTAGTATATACTCAGAGAGGCTGTTTTCCCCCTTTTTTTCTGTGGAACAGAAAAGAAAAATGGTACAACAGGATGTTTCCATAGACTCACAACTGTAGAGATGAGAGCTGAAATTTAGAGCAAGCTATTGGTAAAACAGTGAGCCTGACTTGGTCACTTAATCATTACATTGTAATTCCAATACCACTGCTAAATTCAACGTGGGAGAAGTTGCAGTGGCACTGGCATTCTGGACAATGATGCTTAAACTTCTTCAATTACAATTCTCTAAACAGCTTTTTTTAAAATCCATTCTTTGTTCAGTGGGATTTGGTTACAAACCACAGACATCTTTCAGTTTAGGACTGGTTTCCCTGACAATCGTTTCCAATTGTTAGTTGCTCAAGACTAGCAATGTAATTAAAGCTGTCAAAGAATAGGGTCATCTACATTTCTGAAAATTAAGTAATCTAATGTATAAAGGAAAACACCCAGTTTGGTCCATAATGAGCCTGTTTTAGCAAGTTCCTTTGGTGTGTATGGTGTATGATTTCTTAATTTGCATTGCTAAAACAAGTACTGCTTGAGCATTGTTACTGCTGCTTCCTTCCACACTGTATGGACTAAAAAAATCATGTCTATGGAGGGTATCAGCTATGCTGAAACCATCATTGTTCTGTTAGCAAATAAGGCAAAGTGCTCTGACTTGACTCTGGTTCATCCACTATCTCTGTGAGAAGACTCATGGTAGCCTTGTGGTCAACCTAGAAGTCCACAAGATTAAGAACACTCAGTTTTATTTAAATGAGGTGAAAAGAAGTTTACCGATATGCTTGAGTGCTCCATCTCTTTGACCTTTGGTCTTTTTTTTTTTTTTTGAAGCTGTTTGAAGCAGTCTGTAGGACAAAATGGAGTCCAGTTCATACTGTGCTTATCTGGTGACACCAAGTTGTATGTATCTTTTCTGTCATTTGTAACTGATAGCATATGGTATCAGTGTGATGGAAACATGCATGCACCTATCCTCTCCTGTTTAAACTACTGTGGTATTGACAACATGGCAAAATAAAAAGGGTATATTTTTCATATCTGTGTATTTCATAATGTACAGCTAGTTAATTCTGTAAATTTTCATTGTCCCATAGTGAACTGTATCTGCCTTTTGATGTAAATAAAGTCTTTAAAATGCTGTTGCATTTGATTCTTTCCTGTAAAACTGTGACAAAATACAAAATTCTGATTCAAAATTCATATAGCTGCACACATTTAGCAGAAAAATACAAATTTGCCCTGAGAAAAATAATCTTGTAATGGTTTACAAAGTTTCCCTTTAACAGTTGAAAAAAATCCAATGAAAAAATACAAAACTGTTACACACCTGTCTTTGCAACAATTTAGAAAGAGCTTGAGTAGTAACAGAATATTTTAAAAATCCATATTTTTCTATTCCTCTGATGTCATGCATCTAAAAAACTAACCACTATTAAATTCATTATCATCTAAATATCTTGTTAAAATATTAAGAAAGTCAGAATAAATCTACCAATAAATTGGCTATTGGACTGGAGTTTATAGGAGTTTTATCAAAAACAGTAAATTATATTTGGAAAGATTTAGTCTAAATTCAAGACTGGAAAAACATCTGGAAGCTGAACTATCCAAGTACAGGATTTGAATACAGGTAGCAAAAACAAACTTTACATGCATACAAAATGCATACAAAACAGTGAAAATGATGAAAAAGTCTAAGATGTTCTCGATTTAGCCAATGCAACAAAGTAACAAAAAAATATGTTAGGATATACAATATAGTCAGAAGCGTTAAGTTACGTTGAAATTGTGTAGTGAACTAGTAAGGCCTCCTTTATAACATTGTGTATAATTTTGGTCACAAATTGGTTATAGAAAAGATATTTCTCTTTGGAATCAGTCCAAAAAAGACTACTAATGCACTGCAAAACTATAAATGTCCTACAACAAGTTTTTCAACAATTTTCAAAGCCACTTCTCTGTACATGTACTCCTCTGGCTAATTTACTATTCAAAGAACCTGTTGCTTGATAGCTACCTTTGTTTCTGTAAAGCAGGCAGCACTTTCAAGCTTTAAAAAACAGGGCAAAGGCAAAACTCTTCCAAAAACAGACCTCACACAAACTTTCCTCCAGTGTTCTGCTTGTGCTAGTCCTACACATGTTGTTTACCCATATTACAGTGCAATCTATCTCATTCAACCTTGGAAAGAACAGAACAGCATGATCTTTAACTGTATAAGAGACTTCATTCTTACCCAGTCTTCTTGGAATCTCAGAATATGCACTGTCCGATTTCAGTGTTGACCTGCAAGTACAAGGTTCATTCTGCCTTTTAAAAAAAAAAATCTAGAATCTAGGATCTAGAAGGAAATAGAAAGGCAATTTACTTATTGAAAGGAGCACTGCTCAGCCTGTAGAAACAGCACAGATCACCATATTGGTAGGACAGTGTTGGTCACTTGAGTTTTTCATTTTAAGCTTACCCAATTGCTATAATATTGGTGTAATTTATGATAAAATTATTCAACAATCTCACAGGCAGACTTTTGCACACACTTGCCAACACTGGGCTGAACAATGGGTACATGAGGCAAAAAGTTCTCCAAATTGAAATAAAAAAAAACTGCATGATGTGACATTTTAGAAATAACTGTTTATTATCACTGTATTTTACATCCTTTCAAAGATACAAGATACAAGAAAATGTTCTGAAAAAGAAAAAAGACAATGTCAGTGCTGTCCTCTGTGAAAAATATCAGGCAACTCTGAAATGTTTGCCATTCATTTGCACCTTTAGTATTAAGGAATGATGGAATATTAAAAAGCAACATGATAAACAAAGGAGGGCCCGTATTTCAGTCTTCATTGCAAAATAACCTGGAATGCTACATAGTTTAAGCACAAGATTAATCAACTAATCCTTAATCTTAATTCTTAAGAAAGGTGCACAAATAATTGTTCACAAATTGTTGATTTTATTTGAAATTGAAATTGTTTTATTTGAAATGTCTTCACTAACACTGTGGGAACATTGTTTGGCACTTTTGTGGTTAGGGTACATATACTGTATCAGTGTATACTGCAGACTAGTTTATACATTTACAGTTGGTTTTCACAGTTTTACAGCTCTACATTGGCATGAATCAGTATAAGCCTTTTTTTATTGTTTTGGTGTCTCTTGTACAAAATGTTTGTCCTACAAATCATATTACAGTGTGGGAAAAAATGTTAAATTCATCAGTAAACTCAATGTGTCCCAAACCTGGTCCTGGAGGAACCACCTCTTTTCTTCTAATTTGTGCCTCAGAAGAATTATTAATTGTAACCCGATTTAAACATTCTGTTTGGGGCACATTTCCAAAATCTCTTCCAGCTCTTAATATGTTGATTATTTAGCGAGTTTTAGAAGCTCCCTCACATGAACTGCAAACAACCGAGCCTCTGCAAAAAAAAACAATCTTTAGGAAAGTGCTTTATACATTGTACGTCCCATCTGTATCTGTTCATTACCTATCAGGAGGTATGCAATCAGAAATAAGGGCAAGCAAATTGGGGGGATGCTGCTTAAAGCTTGGCAAGCTGAAGCTGAAAAATTCTCCTGAAGCAGGATGGTTCTGAAATGCAGGAGTGAATACAGAAATGCGTAACTACAAACCAAAAACCAGAATGGCATCCCAGGACCAGGGCGGGCAACCACTGAAGTAGACTACAGAAATCACAACGCTACCATCAGCCTCTCAAACGACTGAGAACACTATGAATGAAAAAAATGCATCTAATGCTAAACAGTAGCTTTGAGCTTCATATTTAATTTTAAACATTTTATAAACGTTTACGGTTTAAAGTTTTGGAATTAATTATTCTTTTAATTCCAAAACTACTTATAGCTATAGAAACAATGATGATCCTCATCTTATTCAATTGATTTCTTATTGTAATGCTACTGTTAGTATTACCATCTACCTCTTATGGATGTCCCACTAAACAAAGTCTTGTCATAAATTATTGTGGACAAGAGCCTGTCCCTCTTCAGTTTGACTACATATTTGCCATACTGATGACAACAGAGCTTTTTTTATTTTGTTTTTTAAAAACAGCACATGCTTTATTTACAAGAATAGTCACTAAGTGCCACAACAAGCTGTTTAAGAGCATTCTTGTCTTACATCTTGAGATATCCAATGTTATTGCAAACTTAGTCTATTCATGACAGGCCGTATATCACAAACTGCAAGTAACCAAGTGCAGGGACAAACTAGAAACTCTCAAAAACAGTTTGCACACATAGGTATAAGATTTCTGAAACAAACTGATAAATATAAATACCATTAATGTAGTTTCTTTGAAACAAGAGAAAGGTGGTTAGGTGAAGAGGCAGGATTGCACTTATTGCATTCTTCAGTTTTTACAAACTGATTGAACTGATTTGCTAAAATAGATCACCAGGTTACTTAAACTGGAGAAGTGTTTTTATATTATGTATAGAATGTTGACTGGAATACATTTCACAGAAGATTCCTTATAAACAACCTCTCAACCCTTGTAACTTTTCTTTACTGTAACCTTTTCCGTACTGAAACTTGTATGTTAAATTAGTTTACTTCATGTCAGGATGAAAAAGAGATTAATGGACTGTAGCAATGACAAATATAGTTTATGAAAAATATCACACTTAATACATTTTTGCAAAAGCTTGTTCTAGATACTGGGTGCCAATACTTACTCTTGTTGGTGTTTTTTTCTAAAATGCATATCCCGATTAAGATATTCTAGATCATGCTGACTATACCATTAAAAAGTTTCTACTAAAAAGTTTAACTAAAAATTGCCAGGAAGCATTCAAAATAAAGATGAATTAGCATTTCACAAAGTTTAATATACCTTGTAAGAAAACACTAAACCAATTCCCCAATCTCATTTCTAATATTAAATTTAAGACATTCTTCCAGAAATATTTATTGATACTTTCTAGATTTGGAAATGAAGTGCATCCTCTGTTTAATTTTGGTAACCATTTTAAAAATCTAAGAGCAATCTTAATGGAAGAAAAGAGTAATAGGCAACCTAAAGAGAATATAATAATTTACTACTGGATTTAATAATTAAGGTAAATGATGTAACTGAGATGACAAACACAGAAGACCTAAATGACAAGAGACATTTAACACTGTGGAGTGCTTTGTGCCATATTAGTTTTGAGTTTGAGTGAATGTTACAGTAAATGTGAAAATGTCTTAAGAGGAAGCATGGATTTTTAAAATCTTTTTTAAAATCTTTTTATTTTTCCCCGCTCCAAAACCTTTGTTGTGCGTAAGAAAAAAAAACCTTCCCCTTCACTGGATTCTATCACTCATTGCATACTGCATTTTTAAACATTTTTTTCTAAGATGTGCTTTTGCATTGAGCTAGAATAACACTATACTTTAAGGAGGTAGTGAGCTGCCTTTTCCAATCGGAAAAGGGAAATTTCTTCTTAGCTAAAAATAAATGTATTTTAAGGTGGAGGGGGATGATAATTTAAAAGTGAAAGTACTAATAGTGTGCACATTTGCAAAGAAAAATGACAACAGATTCTTAATAATTGTGAAGGTAGTAGGTTAGATTTGATGATGTGAACATCATTTTCTGTTGATGCCTGTGAAGTACCCAGAGAGATGAATGCTGCCCGATACAAGGCAATACAAGAGTATTTTTTCTTGGTTTCAAGCCTTCTTTAAGTTAATTATTTCTATCACTACATATATACACATCCATTTGGGCTGTTTCTATTGCGACATGCACAAAACCCAAACTCCTACAGTATAGAACACCATCATTTAGAGAGGAATGGTTGTAACAGGAGTCACTTTATCCAAGATCAAACAGGACACAATGCTAGCTCTTCTCATGTTACAACAGTGGTTAAAGCCAACAACAGTATGACAGTGTTTCACAGCATTGTCCAACTGAAACACAGCAACCAAATATTGACTTATTTCAGGTGTTGGTATATAACATCACAACTTCTTAATTAGCTTGCAAGCAGCTTATTGATCCAATATTGTAGATGTCTGATGCTGAGATATAAATCTCATATCTTAATTCTTCAGGCCACTTTTAAGTATGGCTTTAACTGCTGTGTTACTTGATCAACTATTATGATGCCAAACTGAAAAAAATACATAAACGATTTTAAAAACAGTACACTTTTTTAACAGTACACTGAGTCCACTGAATTAGCTTTTTTAAAATGTATTATTTGTGAAAATTTTAACTTCATGATACTCTTGCAAACTTTATCGCTGGGAGCCAGCAAGAAGTAAGTCGTTATCTGGGAGTGATTCAAAAGGCAGAGATCTACAGAGTGCTCTGTAGCAAGCCAAGCATGCAACTAATGTTAACTATCACCCTTGATTTCCGTACAATCCTTTATTTTCATCAGTGTTTGAAAGCACTCTGTCCTAACATCACTCCTTGAGAGCCAACTTCCACCTCGAAGCAGGCAGAGCACTGTGCTTATTGAACACACCCCTGACAGCCCGATCATTACCTTTCACAAAGTTCAAATTACATCCCTGAAGTTTTCTAGATGCACAATACAGAAAACCATCCCTGCTAAACCTCTCCATGATAGACCTCCCATCCCAATCCAGTTACACATGTGAAAGTCAGTTGCTCCTTTGAGCTACAATCCATCTGTAGCTCACAGTAACAATCACACGGCTTCCCTAATCCAAGCTTGTTTTACCTTTTACCGACTGTACATCCCAAACACTAAGAAGCTGAAGAAGACGGTGACACCCACTAAGGACACAGTAGCGGGTGCGGTGAAGAACTGGCGGTAATTGATGCGGAAGTACCAGATTATTGCCAGCATGACCACAAACATAGGGATCATTAAGTTGCCCATATTGAGTGCGATACCACTGTGCTCTCCTACCACCACAGGGTCAGGAACAGGCTCCTGTATGGCCTGTGACACATGACAATGGATTACACTGTTATCGGAGATGTTGAGGGAGAGAAGTGTCCGTGTCTGGTCCTGCAGCAGCTGACCCTGATAGATGAGCTTGACCTGCTGTTCCTGTCCCGAAAAGTACTTGCTGTGAAATGAGAAAACAAAGAACACAGGAGTAGAACAAAGGTCATGACTGAGAGATCATTCACCCCAACTTCTTCATCTGGTTGCAAGTAGCTTATTAACCCAAAGATCTTGTACAGCCATTTCTTGACAGAGCTCCAGACATAAAAGAAGTTAGTCTAGCCAGCTGGGTCTAATAGAGCAATATACATGTTTTCGAAATTCATGTGACCATCGGCTTTTATTTCCAAGTGTCTTCATCGGTGATCTTACAAAGACAAATTGATATAGATTGTAATCATAGCAAATTTTCTTTGTATCTACAATGAAGAGCCCAGAGCACATCCAAGAGATAAAATGACACAGTAATTCAAGTGTTGATATCTCTTAAGTAGAAAGAGGGGGTACATTTAATTTGTATAAAATGCTGTATTGATGAGTAATCGACATAAACAACAGCAAAAACCTACTCAGGTCAAAATGAAGATTCATAGCAACCTAATGCAAAGGGATCTCTTGTTAGTAAGATTGCTAAGAACTCCATCTCCCCCATGACCCTGGATTGGAATAAACGATAAGAATGGAGGTGAGCTTCCCTACCTTTTCAGCAGCCCAACGGTATCATCAGGCTTGACTACAGCCACCTCCTCTGTATCATTTAAGAATTTGAGGCGCACTTGGATCTGTCTGTCTTCGCTGTCTGCCCCACAGCTGCCGTTCTGGTTGCCCTCCTCCTCCAGCCTGGGCGCGGTGGGCTCACTGGTAGAAGCTGCCCTCTTTCTCAGCCCCTGGATATTCAGGAAGCTGTCTATGCTGGCATCGGCTGCCCCCTCCCCGGGCGAGACCGCGTCCGAGGACCCAGACTCGGAGCCGTGCTCATCTTCGTCCTCCGGTTTGTCCTCCACAATCGGTGAAGCAGGCTGGGGTTCACTGGAGTCCGAGACTGGGGGTCCCCCGATATACCCCTCTCTTCTACCGAGGCTCACCAAAGACGTATGGTTGGCAGTAGTGAGGATGGTGCCCAGGATGTGGTCGCCGCGGTCTGCCACGTATGTGGAGAGCCAGGCCAATACCAGTGCCAGGCCAAAAAGGACCACTCCTCCAACTACAGTCACTTCATTACCAACTGCTTCGAGTAGCATCATCCTCGACTGCCAACTCCCATTGAGCTCTGAGCACAAGGTAAAGCAAGCACAACATTAGAGGAGCAAAATGAAGAGCCCTGCATTGATCTTACATTTGTACCACAAAATAGGGCTCACACAGAGGCCTAGCCTACCCCTTTAGAAAACAGGCCACGTGTATATGAAATATTTAACGTGATCTTCCTGTGCAAAAGTTATACATTTCCTAATAACAGGGAAAAAAAGAAGTCAATTGGCTTGCTTGATTTCAGATCAGAAAAAAAACATGATACGTTTTTTTTTTCTCAATTATGATTAACACGAGGCAGAACAGCAACACACTTCAAAGATTAACACATATTCAGTAGGATTTCATTTGTTTCACATTTTACAATACAATGACACTGCTGGATTTTAGACGGCATTCAAGCGCTCTAAACGAACATCATATACTTAATGAACGATGTATTCCCAACATACACGTAGTCCAGTACATTTACCTCCACGATATATATGTCACGTTTAAACACTTTTTTTGCGCGTTTTCTTGTCATTATTAATTAGGATTGACCATCTATGGTATTAAAAACCAATGCATTAAAATATTTCGTTTACGTACAGATTCAATGTGAAGTTAGCAATCATCCGGCTGCGCTTTCCATAGGCTCAAATTATTCAACTTCGACGTTTTGTATGAGAATGTCGACTTTCTAAAGGAAGCGGGTTAAAATAGCAAAACACTGCTTACCAAAATAAACGTTTATACGGTACATAATCATGCTGCAACCACAAAATAATTCTCGTGATAAAAGTAAAATATATACAGTACCATCATGGGTCCTGCACACGATCAGCTACTGAAAAACTGACTGTAAACAGATGAGTTAGTTTGCAAGTTAGAATATAGCAAATTGTTACACTGCGAAGAACCATTTTGTAGCAAAAATCGAAATAGTTTAATTGGGAATACCTACTTACATTTAAATGCGGAAATAACTGTAAACATTATCCTCTTTCAGTCTATCTTCCTCTAAGTAGAAATGTCAACATTAGCTGCGACCTTCGACCAGACGTAATTTTTACAAGCTACAAACAGACAAAGACTGTTACCTAGCCGTTGCCGCACCTTGCTAATTCAACTATAGATATATTTAAACAGATAAAGCATTACCTTTTTAAAATTTTCTTCCAAACTATTTTAATCTGGTCAGCCACCAGCAAATTTACGAAACGCTCACTCCCAGTCCACACACAAACACAAAATGTGCCTACGTCAGACACGGCACATATTGGCTACGTCACGCAGTTCAAGAGGGACACAGATCCCGTAAACCTTAATAATGTTTTTTTGCCTGAACTCGAGAGGTTGTGAAAACCAGATGAATAATATTGACAGTATTTTAAAGGTCACGTTCTTTTACAATACCGTATGTAGTAACAATGTTTAGATGTTTGTCGATTGTGATTTTTTTTTTTACCTCGGTCATGATCGTTAATGATGAATATGTGCATATTCATCCATTCAAGATCTGTGAGACAACAGCGCCATCCGATACATTATGTTTAAGGTTTTGTAGTTCTTGTTACTGTATGTGGAAGATGGAAGATCATTTACCGGGGTTAATGGTGATAATGCTTTAACATATAAATACACATCTTTTGAGGAACACCATTCCGAAATTATTTTAGTGAAAGTAAAGAAAATGTGAAAATGCAAGACCAACTGGTCTCCAAGCACTTTTTCACTTTACTCCAGCTCAGAGTACAGTTGTCCAATTGTAAATTTGCTTCTATACAATATGTACTTTTATTATTTGGTGAGACCAAATTTGCATTGGCATGACTGCAAGTTAATTTAAACACATACATTATAATTATAATAGTTATTTGCATTTGTGTAGCACTTAACTGTAGTTAGAACTTTATAAAAAGCCAGTTGATTTTTTCACATACTGTAAAAAAGAGGACCCTATTTCGTTTATGGCTGCATGTCTGTATTCCCGGAGACGTGCATGTGAAAGATCTCTATTACAACATAATACTTTTCTGTTAATCTCAATGCACTTAAATAACTGTTGTGTGTATAAGATTCATAGGGGCACATTTTTTATTACATTTTTCTCTTCATAACTGTGGACAATTTAAGCAAGCTATTATAAAACAGATTGTACAGCCTATAACAACTGTCAACAATAATTGTGCTGCAATTTGTGCACTCTAGATAAGGCCCTTAGGGACAATGCTCTGTTTCACAGCTGAGCAAAAACTGTGCTTTTACATGTGGAACCTGCTTGGTGATCTGCAGTATTTTACTACATCTACTGAAATTTAAAACACCCTGGTGAACAGATTGTACAAACGTCTTCTTAAGAATGTGTCAAGAGTGTCCCTGAGCTGCCTGGCAAGGTGTTAATCAGCTTTATCCTCTCTCAGAGTTATACCACAGGGCCTGTTTGTCATGCTGCTCTGAGCCACTGTGTGACTCTGTGCTGCAACACAGATGGTCAACCCTAGGCTACCCAGTTTTCACACCAGTGTAGTTATGGGGGGGGGCGGGGGGAAGATGTCTAGGCCTGGAACCATTCCTGACCAGCTTGTTTAGCAGCCAGTCCCTCCTCCACAGCATAACCTAACAGTGTGGACCAGCTAGCTGGCTTGTGTGCACATGCCTGTACTTGAAACCACACCACTAATCATATACTGATGTCCTATCCACATTCCCTTGTCAACTTTCACAGGAGGAGATTCTGGCATTCAGTAGAATACATTATTAAATATGGGCCTGCCAAAAGATATCCCTTCTGATCAAATATATGAAAGCCCTCTTTTGGCTCTAAATGCTGTCTGAGCATCACTTGCAGTTCCAGCATGCAACGACACTGATGTTTTGATAATTATTTTAAACCTGTGATCCAGCATGTGATCTTGTTGCAAAAGTAATTGGAGACATGAAGACAGACTTAGATCTAATCAACTGATTCTTAAAATTTCAAGGAGGAAGATGTCATAAATTCTCTAGCGGTGTGCCAGCCATTAAGTCAGGCATCCTTCCGTGCTGAGCAAGAGGTAGCACTTGAGGGCCTCGGGCAGGGGCAGCTGGGTAATGACAGAGTGGCAGCGATCTCCCAGGTGATGGCGCAAGGCACAGCGTGCCAGGTGTTGCAGTCGACGGGGCTGGTTGGTCATCTGGACAACTGACTCATAAAACGTTTGGTGTTCCTGAGAGGAGGAGAGAGAGCATGCCGATCAATGATTAGACAATAAGGGCTATGCAGTGGTTTAGTAATGCTGCCTCTGCTGTCTCGCAGTGTTGGGGCTCTGGGTTCAATTCCAGACCTGGGGTGCTATCTGCGTGGAGTTTGAGTGTTTGCATGAGTTTCCTCTGGGTGCTCCAGTTTCCTCCCACAGTCTGTAATGGTACGTCAATTGGCTCCTGGGAAAATTTGCACTGGTGTGAGTGTGTGTGCCTATGTTTATGCCTACTGGCTTCCTGTCCAGGATGTACCCCACCTTGCACCCACTGCTGAGCTGGGATAGACTCTGGCTCCCTGTGATCCTGAATTTGGGAAAGAGGTTACATATGGATGGATGGAATAAGAAATACATCTAAAAAATCCAGTGAGGCTTCTTGAAATGTAATGTTAGTGTAGTGATGTAGCCATCTCAGCAAGAAATTGAGAGGAATTTACTGCCTCTCTATTTTAATCACCTGTTCACTTTTATGAGTTGAGAGTCTAATATTGAGAACCTGTGATAGAAACTAGGAAGTTGTGTTTCTAAGGTTTGTGGCAAGTTATGCTGTTTAGTTGGAATGTAATGATTAATGTTTGTTTTGTTTACTATAAATACTGTATTTTTTACAGGGTACAGGGCAAGATCTCAGAGCAGCTTCCCAATGACAATGGAAAAAAAAAACTTTTTTAATTTTCTAAACATTTTCAAATTCTTTAATTGTGAAAAAAAAAACAATATGAACCTGCCAGACTTGTGGTGGAACACTCTCAATCCAAGAATGACACAGTGGGACACTGTCATATGAGTTCAAGATCACTTCCATGGTCAACGGCGACATGGCACACAATTTCAGCATCTAAAGTGACAAAAGCAATACTTTATCGTACTTGCATGAGGCAGATATTATGTTAGTTTTTTTAAAATGCTGAAAAAATATCACCATTTTCAGAAATACTGTGCTCTTTTCACAGACAACAGCAACATAATATAAAAGAAATCCAGAAGCTAAAATGTATGCATATTTCACTGGTGATTTTAGGGAAGAAAGACTAGAAGAAAGGAAGAGGTGCTAAGTACGAGCGTTTTCAGGAAAGAAATAAGATGCACAGTCAGTGAAGGAAGCTGCTTCACGGGATCCTTTGAGAAACAGCTAAATGGGTGGCTTGAGTCAATAATGAACAAAAGACAAATACGTTTCTAGTTTTTCGTGTTATTTAGGAATAATGCACTTATGTGGTTTTAATCCAGGAAAAATGTTTGCAGATCTCATGCTCAGCATTGGCGTCTCTACCTGACCTTTGGGTGCACTGGCTGTGCCCCGTGATTGAGCAGCGAGCGGACAATGCCCTCTGGTTGGTTGTCCAAATAGTCTTCTACTACCTGCAATGAAGCACAGCATGAATAAACCATGAGAGATGACCACTGCTGAGAAATGTGTAGACAGCATTATTGATTGATCAGTGCCATACAACAGGCAAAATTCATTTTAGTAATAAAGGTCCGTACCTAGATGAGTGGAAAAGTTACCCAGAGAACATACATTGGGGTTCAGAACCAGTTATTTCATTTTGCAAAATAGAAAGCTTTTTATATTTCTAATTTTTCACATCTAACATGGTTATACTGTATATACATTAGAACGTTCTTTCCTTAGCAGAAAGCTACTCTTATTAGAACTAGCAAGGGCCTCACCCCAAAGCACATGACTTCTCTCCCCTGTCTGGTGACACCAGATCTTCACTGGGCCATGAGGGAATGGGCAATTTAGAAAAGCCAAATCAACCCAGGCAGCAAGTCTTGCAGAGGGGGGTGCAAACTAGAACACCCTGTGAGAAGACCGATGACATGCCAACTCCTCAAGGACACCTGAATCCAGACTCTGGAGCTGGAAGGCAGCAGCGGTAACCACCACACCAACAAGATTCCCGATTAACTTTCAAATTGGAATAATATACAAATATATATTCATTTACTGAATCGTTTTTCATTGTCACATCACATTAGCCAAGTGTGACATGAATTCTCCAATCAGTGGTGTAATATATCAAGTGCCAGGCTAGAGCTGCCAAACTTCAAAAGCTGCAGCGACAACAGTGAGACACGTGCAGTTTCTCTAACCAGTGCTTACTCTGCAAGACACAGTGGCACGCGCAGCTTGTCCAATGATGTGTGGCCAAAACAGTGGGCATTTCAATGGAGTTTGTGCACGGGTTCTTGTTGACCCTGGACAGGTTCAGAGGTTGCTGTAGTGAGCAGATGGGATTTACAGATGGCAGTTCCAAACTGGGTGGGTGTGTAAGAACAAAACTGCAGTTCTAAACTGAGAAAAAGATTATTCAGTGCTTTAATGTTCCATTCTATATTCCATAAACAATTTTGATAATTAAGAGTGGAATTGTTCTTTAAAGAGTTGAAAACTACTATCCAATAACAACAATTTCTTATGCGCCAGTATACTTACCACACACAACCTCTCAGTGGGGAGGAAGCCAAGTCAGAGACGGGGATTATTAGGAGGCCATGATTGAAAAAGGCCAGGGGGAAATTTGGCCAGGACAACAGGGTAACAACCCTATTCTTTTCGAGAAACGCCCTGGGATTTTTAATGACGACAGAGAGTCAGGACCTCAGTTCTATGTGTCATCTGAAGGACAGCGCATTTTTACAGTATAGTGTACTGGGGCATTAGGACCCACACAGACCGCAGGGTGAGCGCCCCCTGCTGGCCCCACTAACACCTCTTCCAGCAAGAACCTTAGAACCTTAGCAAGAACCTTAGCTCACACCTGCTGAGCTCCAGTGGGCTGCCAGTTGTATGTTGCAGGGTGATATAGCTGCTGGCTATCTGTTTGAAATATCTTCATGTTGTTCCCGGCCATTCTCAATATATTTTGTTTTGTTTCTCAAAAAAGCCCTGCTCTTTACCCACTTGTAACATGCAGTCCATGGGTGTGTAGCCAGCGCAGTTGGCGAGGTTGACAGCAGCTCCGTGCTCCAGCAGCAGATCTGTGATCCGGTAGCTGCAGTTGGCGCAAGCATTGTGCAGCGGGGTGTGCTGCTTCCTGCCCGCCACCCTGGGGTCACCCCCGCAGCCCAGCAGCCGCTGGACCACGCGGTAGTAGCGTCCGCCCTCAGAGGGCCGCTCGGCGCCCGCGCAGGCCGCGTTGAGCGCCGTCTCCCCCTCGCGGTTACGGGCGCAGACGTCCGCTCCGTGGCAGAGGTAGAGTGCCAGGTGCTCCTCCAGCCCGCTCCTAGCTGACACGTGAAGAGGAGTGACCTGGCTGTCTCTGGCTCGAATGTTCACCGTGGCCCCGTACTCCACAAGGAGCTTGGCACACCTGAGAGAGAGCAAGGATGGAAGTCAGTCAAGAGCCCTTTCCCCAGCTTTAGAAAAGTCGGGTCGCCATCAGAATATGGGAGAGGCAGGCCCGATTTTTCATTCACGACATCCTTGAGCCATGAAACACGGTTTTTCGAACATATTGATTCCCAATTTGATCTTAACTTAAACTAGCGAATCGTATCATGTAACATTTGTTGCTTCACTAACGTCAGCCTGGACAGATTTGTATTTTATGATTGCACCTTCAAGAGCATTTGTTTGGTGAATCGGTGTTTTGACACATATATATATATACAAATATACAGTGTATATCATGGCCTTCTAATAATCACCCTCTATGATCTGGCTCCATCACTCTGTTAACTCCTCCCCACTGATAGCTGGTGTGTAGGGAGCGGACTGGTGCACTATGGCTGCCAACACATCATCCAGGTGGGGGGTACATTAGTGGTACATTAGGGGTCTCCATTACTTGTACAGCGCTTTGAGTGGAGTTTCCACTAAAGCGCTATATAAGTGTAAGGATTTATTAATTATTATTATATTCCATCTTCCTCCCGTGGGTAAAGGCTTTGGCCTCACTTGTGGGATGAAAATATATGGGGAATTCATCCTAAAGCACTTGTTCCGGCCCAAGACACTCACTCGTAGGTGTTGGGAGTGCTGCAAAGATGCAAGGGAGCACTGCCCTCTGTGGAGAAGCTGTTAGGGTTTGCACCGTAGTTGAGCAGAAGCTGGACGCAATCAGTGTGACCACCAGCACAGGCATCGTGCAATGCAGTGCTGCCCCCAGTGGTAGCATTGACTTCGGCACCCTGAGCCAGCAGGGCCTTGACACAAGCAGCGAATCCCCTGCCTGCGACAACACGAAGGGCTGAGGTTTGCTTGGTTTTCGGGGCCAACGCCCAAAGTCCTGATGGAGAAAGGAGAAAACACATACCTGTACTCTTAAATCCCAATGGTACACTATTTGCCCAATTCTTTCTGTAAGGGGATTTTATATAAAATAAATATGTAAAGAGTCTGTGTGATGAAATATACAGTATATTTGCCACTGTAGTTAGGATATAAGAGCACAAGAAAGATTGCAATGGGGAGGAGTTTTATCCCATTGCCTTTTTGAAAAAAACAGGGAATCAGCTTCAGCTGCATGTCTCATACTCCCACAATCCTTTGAGTAAAGTGGTATCCCCTGTTCTTGATTTTAAATGCACTTTTACATTTATAATTGAGTAAGTAGAGCCAGTTTCACACGGATATAAATGTATACCATAGAAGTATGTGTACACATCCCTTATAATCATAGCTGTACCAGTCTTCCCCTCTAATCATGGAATTTTCCAGTTTACCCAATCAATAAATCTGAAATATATCTAAAATGAGTTTCAGACTTCTGTATTATGGACAAGGCCATCAGCTATATGTAGAAATATTAGTGGCACTGATATATTTTCCTGTTCTGTTGCCTTTAGAGTCACCTTAAAAAAGTCTTGTGGGGATTTCCTTCTTTCTCTTGGCAGAAAACTTCAGTTAGCAAGACAAATATACACCAAAACATGGCCAAAACAGAGCAGCAACTGAAACAACTGCAATTAGTGAAAGCATTTTTGGACTTAATTGACTAAAATTCCAAATGCCAGCAGAAGCTTACCCAGCTCAGAGGACCAGACCATTTCATCTTGGACCATTTCCATGATGACATTGGCCATGGCCTCGTCTTGGAAAATAGTCTTTACTTTTTCAACATCCCCGGACAATAAGGTGCTGTAGATGACGGGGTCTCGGCAGTACTGGGGCTCTGGGGGCCGCCGGGGGCCCACAGCCTTTCTGACTGCCGGAAGTGGCCTCCTCATGGTCCTAGCCTGTCTGGCCAGGGCTCGGCGCTCTCTCTCCCAGTCCAAGTGCTCCTGCTGCAGCCTCAGTGACCGCAGCGTGGCTGAGGTGAAGACGAACGTTTCTCTGGACATGGCAGCAGGGTGGCGGGGGTGTTTCAGGCCGAGTTTATCCTGGGGAATTGCAGATCAGCACATTATCAAAGCCTCCCCCCCAAAAAAAAACAAAACCCAACAAAATCCCATTTCTGAGATATCCAACTCTGAGCAAAATAATCGTAATGAGTGCCACACATCATTCAGGTGGGTGTTGCAATTCAGTGGTTCCTGTCCTGGACAGTATATAAAGTGTTTCAGAATCTTTGAGATAAAGGTTATAATAGAAATGCAAGACATTCTTGTTATTATTACTAATAACAGTAATAATAACAGGAAACTGAGAGGAATTGCTTTCAGGACTGAAATCTGAAGCATATCTTTACACAATAGGGTTGTGGGGCTGGTAAACAAACTGTGAGATACTGTATGTGGGTTAAGATGATCCCTTGGGATCCTTCAGGAAATGGTTAAACAATTTTGGATCAATGAGCTACTAGCAACCAATTGAACAAGACAATATCACAATTTCCTTGTTCCTTCTAACCATTTTTATATACTTAAGTTTCTAACCAGCAAAATAAGCACAAACAGAGCTAAAATAATGTAACTACAGTACATGTACATTAATAACAATAAATGAAAAGTCATTACTTTTTGGAAAGCTTTTCCCCCAAACCTAACAATTCTTTTACTAGATGTATTTATTCTGAGTGGCTAGATGTGGAGTTTGCCAAAGCTACTTACACATAATCCAACATGAAGACGGCGCTGTACTCTCTTCACCTTCCTCAGAATCTGATATGGCTGTAAATCAATGCTGTTTATGAATTATTCAGGCTCCGAACGACCTGGAGAATTCTTTTGTTTTTCAGAAGATAGCACAGGTTTTCATCAAGAAATATTTTGATACCGGCCTCCTAACTGCTTGCATGCTATATCATGGAGAATGACAGATACAGATTGCTTTTTAAAAAACCTGGCGTAATGAGACAGTGGCTGTTTTGCGGCAGGAGTGGTGTTAACCCTGGTTATTAATAGAAGGGCATCTTGCACTCTGCACTCTGAAGCATGAGAGCTACTTTAACAGATGGCACGAGTAGTTTAAGCAAACTCCATATTGTTGTACTTGTGGGTGATCAGAATTTGCTCAACAATGATTTAATAATAATTTATAACACTTGTATCGTGCTTTTCTGGACACTCCACTCAAAGCACTTTACAGGTAATGGGAATCCCCTCCACCACCAGTGTGCATCCAGGTACTGACCAGGTTCACACCTGCGTAGCTTCAGTGGGTTGCAGGGTAATATGGCTGCTGGATTTCTTAAATGCCAACGCCTTGGAATAGCTAACACCTCAGCCTAATACCCAGTCACCCTTACACTGGAATTAGTAGATGCAATGTAGAGTGTGAACAAAATACAAATCAGTAATCATCAATTTCTTTTATTGATTCTCAGTGATTGTTTTTTTAAATGCATAAATATATATTTGCAGTCTGACAAAACAATGAACGTCCTTCCAGTCTATCTCCACGACCTCTCTGATCTGACGACTGCGAGCCATGAAGTCATGAATTCGTGTTGCAAACCGGCAGACACCGCACTGCCACAGTTTGCACTCCAAATCCCAGGATACTGCATTCTTGCGTTTTTCGTCAGAGCGCCAAACGTCATCAACTGTGATCTACGTGTAGAAGTCCTTGAATTGTCGCGGCAATGGTAGCCGCCTGGGATGGATGTTTCTGTGATTCGAGATTTATTTTTGGTGTTTCGTTTGCAGTTTGTCACGTTCGTTCCTGGTAACAGTAGCGGTGTACAGTATTATTGTTATGGTAAGACGAGGTTGCATATGCAGAGAGAGCGTCTTGATTTTGACAAACAGTTTTGACACTCTCAATGTTTCCTTTTCTGGGGAAATCGGTTCGAATAATCCATTACTTTTTAGAAGTCGAATTAAATAGACATTTTTTTACCATACAAACCATCTTAATGTTCAGTTTCTTGTTTTAGTGCTGGGAAACTTCTCGTTCTCAATTTTTTATTCATAAATGCTGTAGTTCTGCAAATATAATACATCGCATTTTCATGCAGCCTAGACAACTTTAAAGACACGATTTTTTTAGAGTGTTAAACCTGTCAAAATACGGTAGCGAATGTATCTTGACAGAAAACGAGGAAACGACTCCTAATTAAGTAGTTCATGGCTTTTAAATCTCTCAACACGGAATTAAGTTGAATTTTTTATCTTAATGTGAAAGTGGTTTCTTAATCGTATAACGGGGTTCCCTGAGAGAGATTAATTTAATGAGCTTTTAGTATTTTAATTTTAATTCCTGTACGAATAATACTCTTGCCTCATTACGTCATAATATTTCTGAAATTCCAGTTCTCAGCTAGGCTGTGTAGTATATAATTGCTGATTTTTTTTTCTTCTCTTCTAATTCAGGGCGAAATTCTATAATACGTTTAAAGGAAAGTGAGCAAAAGAAAAATCTCTTGTTTTGGGTTGTTTTGCAGGCTTCCAAGTGGAGTGAATTATTTAACGTGGGAGAAGAGTTTGATGATGAGGTGTGTGAATTCTTGATTTTTCTGCTTTTTATATCTGATAGAAATTGCCTGTGTAGAATTCTTTGTATATTACACTTACTCTGGGCATCTATGAGATTTTGTTTAGTTATTTAATAACCAAATACATTTAAAAATAAATTTAAATGCTGTTTGGTGAAGTGTTTCCTATTGAGAATGCTTACAAAACTGCTGTGCAGAATGTGTCAAATAGTTAAAACTACTGTTTGACACCCGATGTCCAATCTTACCTTTTTTTTCCACCTTTTTCTTTTAGGATAGTCTCTCTCTGTCTTATTCTCCCAGTACCGTGCCCGCGCAGTCTCCTGTTAATGAGTCTCCCGTTGTCTCAGTTCTGAGAGCCCCTTCGACAGCAAACCTCCAGACAGCCAAAACCAGCAGTAACCTTCAGCCCCGCCGTGCGATTCCTCCTGCTTTGTCTCCCTCCATTCTGCTGCAGCAGCATGGCAGGAGTCAAATTCCTGGGAATCCCGATGCCCCAGCGAGTCCCGATTTTGACCTTAGACCGCCTCCCGTTTCGGCGAACTCCTGTGGGCATCCTCCTAAAATCTTAAGTGGAAATGTTGCCAACACACAGCGACAGTGCTTGGCACCTGTGCCAAGGCTGAGTGAAAAGACTGCCAGTGGTGAAAGGCTGTTGGCTCCGGTGGTTGATGACTTTGACGATATAGACTGGGATACAGCATTTGCAGATATAGAGGAACCTGTATCCAAAGTTAACGGGCACCAGCTTACGGTGAAGAACAGTCTCCCTAAAATGGACAACACAGGTCCACTTCAGCCTACTGTAAAGCAACCCAGGGTGGAATTTGTTTCTCCAGCCAAGAAGCTACGAGCCTCGAATTGTGGTGGTGGTCATCCGCAAGTGAATCCTGGCTTGCAGGACACACGCATGGAAAACATTGCACCCAACACTTCGTGGGGCTCGGCACGGCAATCTGCACACGGCGTTCAACACTGTTCTTCCTTCTCGGCGCAGAAGTTTCCCAGTTTCAATCTTTCTCCCTCAGCAAAACGTCCAGATTTCTCGACTGGAATACAAACGCCAATATGTTTGAATAAATCAGGCAGCATGAATGGCGACTCTGTTCTGGCGCGGACTCCTCTAGCTTGCCAAGAGACTGCCAGGAATACTAGACCAATGACTCCATTGCAGAGCCAAAAAGTCCATAGCTTACCCAACAACAGAATGCAATATCTACCAGCTCACCCCTCTTTAAAAGCTGGTTCTCCTGTGCCCAGTATGGAGGGCTCTAGACCAGCCTCCAGAGAGTCCAGTTTTTCTGCTGTCTCTCCCAAATCCCTTCAAGCTCCAGTCTTTACTAACCACCTTGTGCAGCTGGTGTCAGCTGCCAGCAAGATACCACAGGTGCCCCGTTTGGACCACCCTCAGGCTAAGATCAGAAGATTCCCGGGCCCAGCAGGCCTCTTGCCCCAACAGGTAGAGAAGATATCTAGATGTATTTCTGTTTTTGATATTAGTAAATAACTTGCATCATAAGTGAATAAACCTAGATCAAACGTGATACCCAGTCTACTTTACATGTGAAATAATTAGCCCACTTAATCAAAGATTCTTCTGGCTGTAATCAGTAACTGATGTATATGTATTGATGACAGGGCTATGAACATGAAGACGATTTAGAAAAACTAATATATCCTAACCAGTATGTCTGATAGATAACTGGAGCTATGAAAAACTATATGAATGCAAGAATATACAAACTCCAAACAGAAACCAAGGACTGAATTGATCTCAGGGTAATGAAGTCATGGGCCTTCAGAGTAATCATATTAGTATTAAGATATTGAGTTTGTTTCCTTTCAGCAAAGTTGAAGTTGTGGTTGGTGGCATTTTTTTAAACAGGCATGTTCTTAGCAATGATTAAATACGGTTACATAAACAGAAATGTTTTTTTCTCTCAAAAGTCACACAATTAATTTTTAAAGCAGTGTTCACTAAAAATACTTAATGCACTTATTTATGTAAAACCCCCACATGAAATAAGTATGTTTTGCATGCACGGTTCTGTCAAATAGTTTGTCAAGACTTTTTGGAAATTGTATGCTTTGGTGTACTGTAAAAAAGTGATGCTGACATTACATGTTGCTTTCAAATCTTCTGCTTGAAGGCTTCCGGCAGAGATTTGGAATTTCACTGTGACTGATTCCCTTCCTTGGTGTTTTTTTATTTGTAGCCCAGTGGAAGAAACTTGGATGAAATCCTAATTTCCCACCGCCAGGTCCCAACTCATGGAGCCCTGGCCAAACTGCAAGCCCAGGTATCGCTGAGCTTCCCTAAACAAAACTGATTTAAGGTCTCTTTTGACTTTGTCTTTGTCACCTGACCCTTTATGTGGCGTTTTGGAAAACCAGGCCTTTCTCTGCCCCCAAGTAAATATACACAAGTCCATAAATTAATGAGCTGTCAAATCCAGATCGTAAGTGGGAAGGACCTGAGTTTCAGAGGTCCCTTGAGCATCTTCTACCCTCTGTTGTAGAGGCTTCCTCTTTCTAAATGCTCCTGAAGCACTTCTGCACCTCCACCTGGAACTCATACACTGATGTTCTGACCTTAGAAGGTGTCCTTCACCTGGCCAAGCAGGTGGAAATCAGGTGGTCGGGAATCCAGACTGCACAGTGGAAGGGGTTGAGAGATGAAAGCCAGGATACGGAATGCACTGTCCTATACTGCTGCCCTGTGCGAACAGGGTCATTTATATACCCAAAGCATGCTGGGATATTATTTCATTAATTAACACATGGGTCACATCCATGCAAAAGTCCTTGCATTCAATCAACTTGCTGTCCCTCATTTACCCAGGTGTTTCCCTTTGTTTGTCCACTATTTGTATGTGGTAAGCCCATCTTGCAAGGCATTGATAGTCAGCATTTTCTGCCCGAGAAGTGGCTCGATGTATTGAGCTCTGAGGAGTATTATAAACTATGTGAATCATAGGAGTAAGACCAAATACTGATCTGTTTTTGGTTGACCATGTTGTCCACAATCCCCAGCTTGATGTCAGACATGACTTTTAAAAATCTTTTTTTTGCTACTAAATTGTTATTTCCAATATTCATTAACAGAAAACACACAGTGACTTTTAACACGTGCATACCAACAAAGCAAATAATATAGTATTATTGTTTTGTTTGCTCTGCTTTATAATTGTTTTGTAGTATAATTTTAAGTTTGACAAGGATGTTTTATGAGTTACGCTCGCTATTAAAAGGGTTATTTAAAACCCTCTAGCAGAGATACAGCAATCTAAGTGTTAAAAGTGCACATACTATATTTCTAAGGTTAAGGCTCATAATTTTTGAGGAAGGCATCGTATGTTAGAAATCATAAATCAGCCAGAATATTTGTTGTTTGTTATGGCAGCACAGCCTGTTGTCATGGAGGCCAATAGCATTTCTACAGGGCCCTCTGAATGTATCTGTACCCTTTTAAAAAAATATGAAAAATGTCAGACTCTAATCTTACAGTGTTGCACAGACCGAAGTCAGATTTGTTATAAGGTACAGAAAACACGAGGGTCACGTTTTCACCACACTTTCAAGGATTGCTTTAAGTAAAATCCAACCAAAACAAATCTAACACTCTGCTCTTTAAAGTGCAGTAAACCTGGATGGAGGCCTCTGTAGGTTTCCTGTTTCCCTGGGGTATAATGGGGGTAAAACAGGAATCATTCTGTCGCTGCATGCACTATCATGATTAAAGTGAGGCTGCGGGCAAATGGTCAGACTGTGTGTGAGGTCGAGTCATACATTCTGTGCGTATCATGCAGCCCTCTGTCTGTTTCACCTCTGGATTGGTCTGGTTTGGCTCTCTCATTATGCAAAAGCAATACTGCCTCAATTAAAAATACAAAAAAGTTTGAATTGTCTTTGCCAGTGAGCTTTTGCCATTTGGTGGCTTAGCAGTCCTATTTGGCTTCTGTTGAGGGGTTTTACTAGTTAAGGTGAGATATTTGTTTACTGCCTAGAGGTCTGAATACCAGCGCGTCATATAGGGTGCAAGCAGTATTTAAAGGATGAATGCTGAAGGTGTAGTACGGGTTTTTTTTCTGAAAATAAATGAGGAAGACTGCAGGATGTACAGAGTATAGTTCTCAAAATGGAAGACGTTGTCTGTTCTTCATTACACGGCAGCTCCCCAGTTCCCAGCAGTCCTCTCCGCAGGAGGATGAGTTTTACAGAGGGCCGTGGGCAGCGATGAAGGCTGAGACAGGCCTGGATGAGAAGAATCCCTCCTGCTTTCTGAAGACCTACAGTATCATCATGGTGCTGCGCAAGGTCCATTCAGTCTTTCATAGCTTGCCACTCTCTAGCTACTGGTGCAAACTACAAATGAAGCCTGAATATTTCTTTTAATAGGCACTGAGCACTCAGCATGTAACTGACATCACTAACATTTGTAACTATGTTGTCTAAAAATATTCGGAACTATACTATGTAATTAGCTATTCCTATCAGTTTGTTTACTGCAATACTAATTAGTCTAGGGATGCATTGTAATGGATTCTCCATATAAATATTTACAAAATCATTTTATATTGTTTATATGGTTTATTAATTCAGATATTTAATATTTATTCAGATTGTAATATTTTAACTGTTGCATGCATAGTATATTTCCAGTTTTGTAAATGCTAAAATTTTTCTTTGATTCTGTTTAAACTTAATACGTATTTAGAAGTAAATGAATAAGTCTTAACGGTATTTCGTTCTTAATAAACATCCCCCAGAATCTAAGGATTTTTCTTTTGCATCTGGGGGCTTAGTGCTGGAGGGACAGTTGTTTTCTGCAGCTTTTCGTTTGAATGTGGCTCTTAGTAAATGGACCAGTTTAGCACAGGTGCTGGCAGGAGATACAGACTCACAGGACTTCCAAGATTGGGATTGGGCAGCCACTGTGCTAAACGTTCCGGACACTTTTGCTCTTAATAGGTTTACTATTAGATTCCCTCTTCTTGCATCCATCACCAAGCAGCTGCTTCCACATGACAGTATCTCTGTGTCTCGTCTTTCCAGGCTGCTTTAAAGCAACTTTCGAAAAACAAGGTCCCCTACATGGCAGTGGTGGTGAAATCTATAACTCGCACCAACAATGATGCCAAAGCCGTGTTCAGAGACCCTACAGGTATGGCGGAACTCTCTACTTAGACTGAAATTGGATTTACAGTGTGCAACTAGTAACTATATTAAATTTGTTTCCAGCTGAACTGACTCCATTGATTCGCTTGCTTGTTTAGACTTTTATTTAACTTCTTTCTTTGGTCAGTCCTAAGTGTCAAAAATCCCCAACTTCAAGGGTGGGGTGACACTGTATCAGCCACACCCATAACTGGAGTGACATTGCAGCAGACATCTACAACAAGCATTTTTTTCTGCAATGATCCAGTTGGTTATATTTCAGGCAGTAAACCTGAATGAGATTGACAAAGAGTTACCAATTACAAATCATATTTTCACAAGAGGTGAAAGCAAATTTACCCATATACCTTAGACAGAAAATTAAAACCAGTTTTTGAATAGGGAACTTAGCTGGAGCAGAATCCAGATGAGGGCATTTCTCCAGGAGCACTCTGTTGGGAACCAGTGTAGTAAAGTCCAGGACAAAGATGAGAAATGGAATTAACTGTAAAAAGTGTTCCCTTTCACTCATAATATTATTTAGGAAAATGAAATTAAACTCCTCCAAAACATTAGGCACGTCAAGCTTCTGGAACAATCATGCACAATTCTCCCCTAACAAAATCGCTCTATGTCAGAGGTTTGCAAAGAAGAGAGGTTTTGTTATTTCCTTATTTCAGAAGTGATCTCTTTGCAGGGGAAATGCATGGGACTGTTCACAGGCAGCTGTTAGAGACAAGACAATCTGAGCTGAAGACAGGGGCTGTGCTGCTTCTTAAGCAGGTATGCCAAACTGTGCCTCGCATATACCTGCATTAGCTCTTTTCCCTTGGCATGGACTGTGAAAAAGATAATTCCAGGAATGGCACGCAGCAGATCTGCAGAATGTCATGTGCAGCCACCTTGAGGGTATAATAATACAGCCAGTGTGCGTGAAAGGCTTCCTTTGCCTTTAAAAGACAGCACTTTGTTAACCAACCCTAGAGCTAGTCTTAAAAAGAGATGTGCTTTTCGTTTTCTCATTAAAGGTCTTACATAATGTAGAGTTTGGATGTTGAATGTCTTTTGCAATTTTTTTTCTTATGGAGTAGTTTGTACACAATCCCAGAACCTAGAGCAAAACATCATTTACTTTTATTACATTCTTATGTCTTAAGTATAGAGGTTCTGATAGCACAGCACACATTGTTGAATCACTAGTGTATTGAACACTTACTGTAGTATGACTTAAAACTAGGTCATGAAAAAGAAAAGGGCATGAGGATTGACTAGACCTTGCGTTATGACACAAGGTCACATGATTAATCCATACACAGAGTTTGAGGTGTTGCATAAATAAGATGAAGACATGAAAGATTATAGGGGAGCAGGATCCATATTCTGATAGTCATTGTTTTACACAAATAGCTCCTGTCCTGTTTTCTGACAGATCTGAAAAACTGAGAACACATCAGCAGAACAGGATGGGTATACACTATGGCTGCTTATGGGTCTGAAAAAAAAAATCTTATTTGTCTGAATCACACATGAATGATCCTTGACTTTGGTACACAAGGAAAACATTTCGGTCCAGACACTTAACATCAAGTCTGAGTTAAGTCTTGAAATGAATATATTAAGAGATGCAAGCTCAGACATTGGGACACCAGGACATAAAAGAACCATGTCTGTTCCAGTTTACTAATTTAGGTTCTTGCAAAAGATGCCCTTGGGGATTTTGACAGGTGGGTGTTTAGACCAGTCTGAAAGAGTTGCCGTTAAGCACGGTGGCAGGGAATCTGGAATGCAGAATATCGTGGGTGATGAAAATTTAATTTAATTTAAATAAAAAACAATAACAGGGAGACCCTGTTTAAAACCTTGTTCTCTGATATTGATCTGAATTCTGCACAGGTTGGAGTGTTTTCTCCCTCTCATCGGAATCATTACTTGAATGTGACTCCAAACAACGTGCTGAGAATTTACTCCCCTGATTGGAGTAATTGGACCTCCAGCGAGCTGTCCCAGAATGAACTAGTAAGCATGGCTGACTTTGAATATCTGTTCATTACTTCCGAATTTGTCAAGGCATTGATTCATCATCCCCAAAATTACACTTTTTGTACTGTATAGTACAAACACATTCTTCTTGTGTTTTTATATCACGAGGTGCTAGTTCAGACAACACAATTTTGATTAGTTTGGGCCCTCAGTACATATTTTGAAAGTTAACCCCGTAGCACTAACCAAAACAGAATGGTAAATTGATGTGAAAGCATAAAGCAGAACAAGCTGTTGTCTCTGGGATACTGTAAAATGAAATCATTTCCCAATTAATTAACTCTCAATATCCCTCTTTCAGAAACAAATGCACTTAGTGCCTGAGATGAGCTTCAGAAAGGAACAAGATAGTGCCATCAATATGAACCTCGTGTATGAGGAGGAGGAGGATGATAAAAGTAGTGCCAACATGGCCTCCAAAACACCCAGTACCCAGTTAAACAGTGCCAACAGTAATCCAGGACGAACAGCACCACAGACACCAGGAGCTGTAGTGGTGGATGATGATTCGTGGGATGCAGGTACACATTTTTCAGTTCACTTGTTCTTCGGGTTGATATTTCTGAGAGCATACCTGTATTATAAAAGCAACCTGTATTCAGTCGCTATTGGTTACAGTTCTTAGAAATCCATCAAACGATGGCAGTAGGAAATAAATCTCCAGTACCACACTGGATAGAGGTGCCATCATACAGACATCATACATCACTCTTTTAACAAAAATGCATCTTTAATGATGTAGTGTCGGCATTCTTCAGTGTAAGGAGATTGTATTTTAAACTGAATTCCTGCATATACTGTGGTCATGTTTATATCCCTGCTTTTAGAAATAAGCAGGAATGTCAGCTCCAATTCTTGATATAGGCCCTGAAATTTCACATGCTTAAGTTTCTTTTCTGCCTGATCTATAGGATATTTAGGGCTAGAAGAAACTCTTATGCATGAATATGATTGCTGCGTCTGCTGGACCTTTGGAGTCCTTGGTAGCTGTAGAAGAGTGTTATACTGTATAAGTGTTGATTACTGTCTTGATAATTTTGTTCTATTCCCCTTGCAGATAACCTTGATGACCTGCTGGGAGAGATACCGGAGGAGGCTTACTGTTTCTGAAATGAATCACACAGCACTCTGTAATGATCCTGTTATGTAGGGGGAGACTCTAAAGAGATACATGGGCTGTAACCTTTGTGCTCAAAAAGGATGTCTTTGCTTTATGTTTTTCTACTTGTTTTTTTGTTTTCAGTGAGACAAATAGCAAAAAAGCTGCACTTTTTTAATATTTATTCATTAGTTATTTCTGTATCTAATGAGAGAAACTGAAAAAATGTTTAAGAATTGAAGTACACTAAATACACAAACTTTGTGGGGGATTTGTGTTAAAAGTGAACTTGTTTTGAATCTTTATTTCAAACTCTTGGTTGAAAACTATTAATACACAAAGCAAACAACAGTGATCTTCACGTCTAACAATACACTGAAATAATAGAGGTAAACCTAGGTACGAGAACAGATCAAAACAGGAACAAATAAACTGGCAGGTTTCTCATAGTGGCAGCAGGCTGAGAGATTAGGACAACACAGTAAATGAACCACAGCTGGAAGGAAACTGCAGACATCACAGAATACTGCAAATTCATTACAGAATGACTCTTCCAGCATTCCTTTCAATACAGATTCGACAAAGGAATCCATGTGGTCCAGAACTTCCTAGATTTATGCTGAAAATCACAGGTCACTTTTTGTAATGGAAGAAACTCTTTCACTAGATTTGCCTCTTGTAAATGAAAAATGAACTTTTTATACATAGTGAGGGCCAAAAATCGTCAGGTTATATCCATGGTGAACGTCTTTTCCCAAAACAAGCTGATGGGATTGAAATAGGACCTAGCGATGATACACAGTTCTGAAATGGTACTTTGTTAAAAGAAATAGGGGACGGCAAATATCAACGTCATTTGATATTGTCTGAAATGTGTTTGTGAATGAAACTACTGTAGCCTTTTCAAATTTACTTAACTAAGCAGGAAAAAGTGTTTAATTTTCTTTAAATGATTTAAGAATGTTATGGTTCAATAAGAAATGGGTATAGACCTAAAAGACTCTGATTTTGAAACCTGATGTTTGAAATAGCTATCAGTAGGTCAGCATTAAGAGTAGTAGGGAGGCCACTGGCCACCTTCCACTGAAGTACATTTTGGAGATCACCAGTTTTTGCATTGCAGCTTTCACTAGTTGGTATGTATACTTAAATTAGAGTGTTCATGTACATAATTCAGATCACCTAGACTTGCACTGGAATTACCCCATCTCTCTAAAGCAGTGCTTGTGCCAGCTCGTTTACTTAATAAAGGCCTTTACCATATAATTTCACTCAATATATCCTATTGTTGAGACTGTGTGCCAACATAATACTATGAATGACTTCAGTATTGAATTAAACCTGTCATTTAGCAGGTGAAATCTATTTATTCAGCTTCACAATTGCGTGATGAGATTCCTTCAATTACCATCTGACAAATGGAAGTTATTAGCTTAAGCATACAGCTTTGAAACACTCCTAAATTGAAGCCCCAAACCTTGAATGCCAGACTCGGCATGGTGCATTTAAATGAGTTGAAATGCATTTCCAACCTGCCCTAATTGCTTTCATAGAACTAACAAAGTTTGGATCCTTTTAATCAAGGTACTCTCGGTGTGAGGTGTTTGGGATATACGGGGAGCAAAGTCATTTTTTAAAGTGCAGGAACAAGAGCTTTTCAGTTCTGTGCATTCAAATGGCAATGCAAATAACTGGACATTCAATTAATTTAAAATGTTTCTATCTTGATACTAGTTTTACAATAAAACATTATAGGAATAATTGCAACATTGGGAGAAAGGATGTAGATTTTTTTGGAAATGTACAGTTGGTTAGAAGGCCTGAGTGGTGGGACTAGTGTATTTATGAAATTATTATAGTCAAAATGATTAATGATTTCCTCTTATCCCAGTTTGTAAAGGTACCTCATAGGCTGAGCAGCATTGCCAAAGGAATATTGCAGCAGAGGCTAACAAATGCAAAATTTTCTTTTTCAAGTGGGTAGTTGCATCAACCGAAGAAGGCTCCACGGCCGAAACGTTGTGTTCTCTGTCTTCTTTTTTTCAGCATGGAATAAACCTATTACTTGTTTCTTTTTCAGTACTGTTACAGTAAACGTTTATGGGATTAAGTAGTGTTAGTAGGTATATTTGATTAATAATAAAAGATCAAGAAAAAACAAATGTAAAATTTAATACAATTAAATTCAGTCGAATTGATACTATCTACACTTAATTCATGTGCTGTTTTGTTCTGAAAAATCTTAAGACAAAGGATAATGAAAGATGCTGTATATAATAATACAGTTAAGTGGTTCCCTGTAGAGATTAAATTCCCCACTGTTGCCCTGGAGCCTCTGTTCAGATTCCTGAGGGGAATACTTTGAGTGTCACCACAGCTTCAGGGAAAAACTGCATGAACAGGCCGTGCAAGGTTAATGTGAGGCACTTTATGGCTACCTGGTACTTTTTTTTCTTCCCTTTAGCCACGGGTGACTTGAAAATTAAATTCAGTCAGTGTGTGACTTTGATGCGGCTCTCGCACTGCTGCAGAAGAGTGGAGCCAATTTCAGCCCTCTCGCAACTCTCATTCCCCCTGGAAGGTGGAGCAAAACCGAAGCGGTTCCCTCCTTGGGTCGTGGAAGCCTGAGTCCATCCTCGGTGGAGTTCCTGAGTTTCTGTAGCAGAGGCTGCAGGACAGATTGGTTCAGCTTGTCCCCAACAGCTCTGGGCTTCTGCCGGGCTTGTCATTTTATCAGCCTGTCTGAGGCAAGTCACATCAGTTCAACAACTGTCGCTCTGGGGGAGTCAACCTTCCAACCTTCTGTTGGCACCTTCAGCTCAACCGAAACCCTCCTGCTGTCAGGGCAGCCATTCCCCAAGTGGCTTGTCTATTGCACCTGGAGCCGCAGCTTGAAATGGTGAAAGACAGTTCTGGAGAATCGGCAGCTTGTACCAGTACTGTCACCAAGCATGTTCTCCGTACCAAAGGAAAAAACCTCAGAGATGTTCCATTGGCGTCTTGCAGCATTTCCACTTTCATTTTTTTTCATAACTTTCTTGCTAAAGGTCCAATAATATATTGTTTTCTTTCTGCAAACGAGTGCAAACATACCCGACTAGACATGCATGGGAGAATTCTGCACCCTAACGCGACAAGCGCAAATGTACAAGAGGTTTTTGTTGGATTAGTTATGGCTAGTTACCTGGCTAGTAAAGATAAAAGCTGAATTTCATACAGAAATCAGAAGACACAATCCTATGAAATTATAGGTGACTGTTTACTTGGCAGCTTTATGCAAGTTGATTTGAAGTTAGTTGACTAACAGGAAAATGTACCTGTAAAATTAGATTGTGTTCTCTTTGAAACACTGGTTCAAATACTGAACTGGCCTGCACAAGGCCAAGATAACTAGGTTCTTGCTGCTTGTTTTGTGTAATGCTGAATTGCATACATACAATTTGCATGTGTAGGCTCCTTATTTTGTGCCATGATTCTGTTTTTTAACCATCATGAATCACAAAGATGTCATTCATAAAAGTACAATGAATTTGTTCCATTTACCCATTACACCTACAGCTTTGCATACCTTCCAGTTTCAATCCCTTTCATTACCACTAAGACCACAAATTTACTTCTGTTTTCACACACGTTTGGCATAATCCTGCTTCGAGAGAATGGTATGCCTAACCTCCGTACCAGGATGCGATTGCCTGATGTAGCTTCAGTGTTCAGTAGATGGCAGCAATAACCCGCAAATCTTGCAATGTACACAGGATACCTCTTGCTAGCAATAATAATCAACATTATTTTATGTAGCATTAAAAGCAGATTGGCTACATTTGTGTTTAATAATGAAACAAAAGCAACTAAACACTGTAAAAACACATCTGCAGTCCTGAATCTATGTTTTATGTTGTCAGAATTGAATTGAAACTCATGTATCGCTGTATATAGAGAAGCTCTTAATGAGAACTCTATAGAAAACAGCTTGGTTCCTGAGCCATTACCTATTTTTACTGCACTTAGGTTTTTTGATATATTCATTCTGAAAGTGAAATGACATGTAATTTAATGTATGAACCCCACTGTGCCTTGGCTAAAACTGGTAGCTTAAGTGCCATTTTGGGAGTTTCTGAAATCGATGATACAAAAGTGTTTGCTGATGCTGGAATTCAAAAAACTATTTACAACCTGATGTCATCATTTCTAACCAAGTTCGGCTTGGCTTATATCGTTATTGATGGGAGGCCTGTAAGGAATATTGAGATGCTGCTGGATTTGAGTGTCGGTGGATCAGAAGATGAAGAAGATGGTATTTTTCCATTTTGTTCAGACATTTCTGAATCAATATCCCAGTGAGGTGATGGGGCTGGGAGTGAGGGGCAGGTCTAAAGATTCAGTGACTCTTTTATGACAGCATGGGTGTTAACAACAATATAGTCATGTAACAAAATCAATCAGCTCCACACTGTCCCTCTGCTGTAATTCAGATTTAATTCCGTTTTCTGCCCTGACACTTAGAGTCTACCCTTGTGATCAGCTTATCATGTGGTGTGCGGGAGAAGACATGACTACTTTCTTGCACTTATCAATTTTATTCTTGGCATCATCCCTCCTCTGTCCTGTACTGTCAGAGAGCAAGCTAATGCATAAGTGGTTCTAATGACACACTGCCTGGCGACAGATCATTTATTGTCCATACATTTTCCTGTGGAAATTTGTCTTGATTCTAACTTTCACAGCGATCCTTATCATTTAAGATATCACTAAATTGCACAAAAAATAGATTTTTTTGGAATGTGGCAGGTAAGTAACAAAAGACAGATTTATGCCATCGTACGCAATGATTTCATATTGGATAAGCAGAGCTAAAGATACAGTAGAAGTTCAGAACTGAAAAAATGTCTAAATGCTCTTTCTTATATACAGCATTGACACTGTGCAACTGTTGCTTGTGCTCAAGAACAAAATAACCATTTTTTTTTTTAGTAATTTTAAAATTTCATTAAGCTAAATGAACCAGGGTAAAGTCAGTTGTACAGGCTTTCAGGATTTTACTGTGAGGCAATTTTGCAGGTTTTGTCAGGGGTTAACGTGCGAAGGAAGCCGATGTGTAAAGTGAGTGGCACGCATGATAATTGATTCCAGGAGCTTTTACATAAACAAAAGCAGCCTAAGAGGCAGGAGCAATTAGTCCTTTTTGTTGAAAAACGACCCATTTTGACAGGGCATTTCCATTTCACATTTATATATATTCATGTACCCCCCTGCCCCTATCTGTCGAGCACTGACCATCCCTCTCTCTCTCTCTCTCTCTCTCTCTCTCATGCACACACTCACACACACTGAATTTCCTTCACTCCGTCTCTCAACCTCAAACTCCTCAGAACACACTCTGCTGGAATCTTCCTCCGTGTTTTTCAGGATCCCCTGATGGACTAAGACTAAGCCTACCGTAAGGCAAGCGCCAGATGCAGCAAAATCAACTGAATGCTTATTCCCATCAATGCTTTTGAGCACCAAGTCCTGACCAGGCTTTTCTTTCATCTGTTATAGTCCTTTTAGTTCCCTTCAAAAACAACAGTTTAAAAAAAGACCCTAAAGAAGGCATTTTTCCTTCCTTGTTTCATTTTTATTACTTTTTTTTTGTTAAAACTGCTGACATCAGAGTGCTATCATTGCCCAGAGGCTGTGGCATCACTCTGGGAGTCATCATCGCTGATGTGGTGATTCGTAGTTTCTCCCAGCCTTCAGCAGCTTCTGTTTCTAATTTTTTTCTTCTTCTCGTGCTTCAGTGGTGCTCTGATTTTTCCTTTTTTTTTCTTTTCATTTCCCTGCATCAATCCTCATTCTGTCAGCCGTTCTCTGAGAAGGAAAGCAGAAATACTGTGGAGAGATGGGAGGCCAGTGAAGGAACAGCTACCAGCAGAAACAACAGCAGCTACCAGCAGAAAAAAAAGGGCAAAGCACAAATCTCAGCCTTACCAGTCTTCACTTCTCCAGCTGGGAGATGAAAAGGAGAGTCAAATGAAATAAAAGCACGTCCTCACACAACATCAGAGTGTGAAGGCTCCTGCTCTCCCCCTCTCTCTCCCTCACGCACTTGTGCTCTCACTCTCCCTCTCTCTCAGTGTGCGTTTGTGTGCTTCTCTCCCTTACTGCTTCATTTCAGCTCTCTTTAATAAACCAGGTTCAGGGAAAGCAGGCGTTCCCTGTGGATCACCACGGAGCGAGAGGAGATATGCACTAGTTAAGATTGGCTGAGGGGCTCCAGTCCCACACAAAAGCGTTGTGTCATCTCGCTAGTCAGATAGATTGTGCTTGAATTTGTCTTCTGTGAGACAGAGAGAGGATGAGGGGGGGTTGAAAAAAACAGAATCATCTTCTTTCATTGGCTATTTTTTTCCTTTCCCTCCCACACTGAACTCACCTTAGTGCCTCCCCTCCCCCCCCCCCAGAATATCCGTCTGCCTCCTTTGCTTCACAGCACTGAAGTCAAGAGCAAAAGAGTTGTAGCCAGGAGTCTTGAGTAAATATCTACGGGCAGGAAGAGAGCTATTGAGAGCTTCAAGCTGTCTGGGTCCAAGCTCAAGGAGGCGGTTTGGGGGGGGGGGGAGAACCCAGGAAGGAAAAGAAGCCTGGAGTCGTAGCTGTCATTTCCTTTTTTGTTCTCTTTCTTTCTTTCTTTCTCCAAAAGGATTATTATTTGGATTACCAGACAAAGTTGGAGGGATGGATCTGAAGGAAAACCCGAGTGAGGGCAGTGTGGGGAGCTTCCAGCCTTCTGGCCTGCAGATCTTTGCTCACACCTCTACCTTTCATGGTATCCGCTACATATTTGTCTATGGACCCCTGACGCTAAGGCGCTTCCTGTGGACGCTGGCCTTCTTGGCGTCGTTGGGTCTCCTAGCTGTGGAGAGTGCTGAGCGAGTGGCCTACTTCTTCTCCTACCCCCATGTCACCAAAGTTGATGAAGTGGTTTCTAACAGCCTCATCTTCCCTGTTGTGACTGTCTGCAACCTCAACCAGTACCGCTTCAGCAAGCTGACCCGGAATGACTTATACCACGCCGGGGAGCTGCTGTCCTTGCTGGACGTCCACTTGAGGATCCCTGACCCCCACTTGGCTGAGCCTGAGGTCTTGGCCATGCTTATGGAGAAGGCAAACTTCACCTACTACAAACCCAAGCCCTTCAGCATGCGGGAGTTTACAGAACGAGTAGGCCATGACCTGAAAGACATGATGCTTTACTGCAAGTACAGAGGCCAGGAATGCAGCCACCAAGACTTCAAAATGGTGAGTCCTTTCCTCCGTCTCCATCCGAGGTTTTGCTTTGTGCTCATGGCCAGTCCTTTTCGGAAAATCAGTATGTTTCCAGGAGAGGTTTTACAACAGAGCTGTTTTTGAATATGTTCAGATTTAGCATACTTCTGGCTGTCAGTTTTACTTGAATAAGATCTTTGTTGCCAGTTTTGATGTCGTATTTGAATCCTTGCTTGAAATGGAACACTTCATGGAAAATATGTACTGTATGATCCACAACCTACGGCCTCTCATTGTCTCTTAAGGTACTTTCTAGGCACTGGAAGAAAGGTTTCATTGGCCTTTTCGGGCCAAGTGACCTGTAAGATCATGCAAGAATGAAACTCAAATCACATGGGTGTTCCCTCCCTACCAGAATATCCTTCTTCTCCCTTGCTTAAGTCTAGAGCAAAAGAAGTGTAGCTAGCAGGTTTGAATAAAAACCTGAAGGCAGGAAGAAAGCTTCTTAAAGCAAAGTCCAAACACCTGTTCAATAGGACCCCAGACCATGGAGACAAAGAAGCTAGAAATGTGCCATCCCATCTGGAGATGAAAGTCCCAGGAACATGGATGCATGAAACCTGAAAAGACTCACAACAAAAGCTTTGGTATCTGTATTCTAATGTTCCCTTTAATTACGCGGGCAAATATCATTGTTTTGTGCTTTGGGTATTTTCTAACACAAGAAGAGCATAGTACAGTAATGACAGTACAGTACTAACATTCTCCTTTCTTGCCCTGAGCGTTTCACCTTTTCCACAAGTTCCATCCAGAGACATAACCCTGTCTTTGCTATGAAAGAATGTGAAAAATCATTGTCCTATGACTGGTAATGATCTCACATTACCAAAGGCACACAGCCACTCTCTGGCTGGTGGGATAAAATTGAATATCTTCCCTCCTTAACAGGTCTGAGACAGGAGTGTAAGCTCACATGTGCAGCAGATGGAGATTCTGAATGATAAATACATGAGAGGACAATTAGAAAATGTAGCACACAGATGGACTGGATTACATGCATAGTGGATGCAAATGTAGCATATTTTAGGGAAAGCCATTTTCAATTCCATGTTATGCAGATAGGGTATAATGTACTGGCTGCAAGATAATGCAAAGAGACAAAATCACAGAAGGATAATGTTTTGTTTTACTGCATGGAAACGAGCACTTTTTTGTTTTTGTTTCTGTGAATACATGGATTCACTACACAAACAGCTAAAGGGTGATATTTTGAAATATAAGGAGAATATAAGGCGGACAGGTCACACTACCAAAGGAGAAGGAAAGAGAGAACAGAACATCCTTTTGATTTTGAAAGCGGACAGTCCTTGTATTCTGTCTGTGCAGCACCTTTGATTTGGCATAACCTCCTGGGGCAAAGGCACAGCACAGTAAGACAACAACGCACACATGCCAAAGCCTCATTCTTAATGCCTTCATCATTTGTGAGTTGTAGAGTATTAGCATCTGTATAGAGCTAAAAACTAATTTGATAGAAGTAAATCAGATCAAATCATCTGCAGGACTATTTTGTGTAGTTTTTAGGGACATTTTTAATTGACTTTCTCAGTCCTCAAAGTTCATAGTAACATAAACCTGTTGCATTTTGCAAGTAATCAGACCTTCATTGATACAGTCTGGTTGTGGCTGTTTGTAGTTAATAATTCATCCATTCTCTAGGTCCCAAAGTCCCTTTTCCAAATAAACTAGACCCCTTCTGTTCCACCAAAATAACCTGCTCTGTGGAATAAAAATTGGAATGATATTTTCATGGTTTAGAATCTGTAATAGTTTGGATATGATTAATATTTATTAATGATGTTGCCAAAGGTACAGAGTGTCTTAGCATAATAAGCCTTCAAGTTCAATGTAAAATGTTCTTGATCTAATTTTGAGCTCTCACACACGCTCAAAATAAAATGTAATGGACAATGAGCTAGGAAAAGAAACTGCAGAGATGTATAGAGAAGAACTAGGGGTATACATTCTATAATTCCATCTATCTATTCTCAGAAAGCCACAAAATCATGTTAATGATTTTTGGCAACACAAGAACTACTGAAGAGACTAAGACCAGAAAGGGATATCAGTATAGGGTAGGCAAACACATACTGTACAGGGACAATTTAGAGACATCCATGAACCTAAACGGCCTGACTTTGGGGAGAAGTATTGAATTAAACCCAAGGAAGCTGGCCTCCTTTTTGTGCTTCGAGAGTTTTTCAGGATTTAACGTTTGGTTTCCTGCACATAGTGGGTCAAATGTGAGAAACAAGTGAAGAACAAATTAATTTCCACACTGCTTTGTAAGCCTGAAAAACGACACTGCAGATATGATATCCATCATTTACGCACAATTCCTGCACTCGTCAAAACAATGGTACAGTAATTATTCTTCTTTTTCGGTTGTCTTCCATTCCCTCATCTTCTTCAAACAGATGTGTTTAAACTTAAACAAATTTGCAATTTTTAATAGCTATGGACTGGTTAGCTGTGCTAATGTGCTAAATCAATATGCTCACATACTTTTACTCATGCCTGTCTATTTTTGTTTGCCTCAGTTTAAGGATGTAAATTATGATGGAAGTACATAAGTCTTGATTGCTTAGATAATTTGAGCATTTAGTCAAAACGTCCTGTTAAAATTAATTTATATTAAAAGAACTAACTTCTGGAAAAAAGAAAAGGCACAAAGCATAGAGTGCCCCTGATCCTTCATATAGGATATATATGTGTCTTTTAATAAACGTGTATGAACATAAATATACACTGTATACTGTACATTGTATAGTATATTTTTAGCTCTGTATATATGCACATAAAATATACATGAAATGTGCTGCATCTCTGTGCTGTGTATCACAAAACAAAGCCAGCTGCAAATGCTGTGCAATGAAGCTTGAAAGTAAGACAGAGATATGCACTTCACTTTATAGCCCATACACATTCCTTCCAGATAAATATTTTAGAGACTGCATTATGATAATATGGATTTATTTGGAATGGAGGGTAGCATGTACAATGGGTTGGTGAGTCACCTTGTATTTGGGTCTGTTATCCTAATTCCAGCCCACACACTGAGTATCACTGCCCGAGGGAGCAGAACTCAATTTGATTATGGTGCACCAGAGAGCATCTTTTCCATTCCTGAGACATGCAGCTCAGACATATGACCCATAAATTCTGTTCTCTTGCTTTCATGCTCATGTAAGTTGAAAAAATACAAAGGGAATTTCAACACCCCAGGCAATAGAGTACTACTTTTTGCATTCTTTTCTGGGACTTCAGACACGACTGTCAAATGTGTAGAAAGTCATTCAGAACTTTGAAGGAGAATGCATACAAGCAGGGAGTTGTGTGTCAGGGCAATTTAATCATTAGGGAGAATTTGGGTACATTTTCATCCATAATAACTTCAAATGCCCCATCTGGATATCTGAGGATGTAACTGGCAGCATGTTTTATGCGATGTTGCAAAGGTTTTTTTTTTTTTAGGTGGGATTGATGTAGACAGACTTTTCTCATTTCTTAACATTTGAATGCTTAAGGACTAACTCAAGATTTTCTAAATGTGAACTTGGAGAGAGCAGTTCACGTAAGCACATTGTTTACAAAATAAAATTAATAAAAAAAGAAAAGATATTACCTTTAGCACAGCTGTGCCATTAAAGATTTTTTACAAGCAGCATTCTCTTATAAGCCTGTTACCTTACTTTGCACAGGTAAAGCACTGATCTTAAATTATGATTAAATACATTAATTTCCTGCTTCTTGAGTACATTTTGTCCAGGAAGCTCCTACTTGAACAGCCTGATAAAAGCTCACTTAATGCTGTTGTCTTATTTGAACAACTGTGGTAATACCAATATTTAATTTAGCATTTTCTTTGTATATTTGTCACATCAAAACTAATGATTTCTGAAATAGATTTTTTTTCTCTTTGGGTCCCTGGCTAACTTTGAAACAGAAAAAGGAGCTAAAGTACAGAAGAAAATTATACTTGTAC